AACGGTCACCATATATTCAAAATTCTAAAAAATGAATAAGAGGAAAAAACAAAATCACAGAAATTAATTTCTAATAAAGAGATTATGAAAGAACGTGACAGATTTGCAGTGCAAATCATGAATAGCTGACCTAAATCCCTTAATTCATATTGGAAAGAAATGTCTTATTATAGTCCTTGTAGTAAAGGCTTATTTTGAGCAAGTTTCAAAATTAATTTATTTGGTTAATTTCACAGTATGATTTTCTTATATATTTTTTCTTAAGCATTTGTTTTTCATGTTTTTTAAAGTTATAATGCTACAAGTTTTTAAAAAGGCATTTGCAATATGAGGTTAGCTAAAAAAGTTTTTTAAATTTTACAAATTATAAGCAAGACATACATTCCACATATTGATATCCTCACTTATAAACATCCCTCATTCTCCCCCAAATGAACACACCCATCATTTATGGGAAGAGATTCTGCTTTTTTTTTTTTTTTTCCTCTCTCTCAATTTTTTTTTCTTTATGTAAAGTTTTTTTTTCATTCTCTTTTACAGTGAGAGTTTTATTTTTTAAACATTTTTTCTCTTCTCTCCTCCTGATTCCAACAAAGAGATCCAAGGCCAACAAATTAAAACACTGCAGATTTCCCACTGTACACACTTTAGAGAACTTCAGTATAGAAAGTAGAAGGGATGCACAAATTGACCCTCCCTTCTCCATATTTAAAATTTATACATTTTATTTATATAATATAAAAAAGATTGCATAGCTACTATGCCATATCAGAAACTGAAGTCACTGCCTGAATTTAATGCGGAGTACGAGAGAGAGAGAGGAAGAAAAAAGCCCACTTGAAACTGGATTGGGCTTAGAAAAATTTAAAATACAGCTTTAACAAAAGATATTGCTTGAAGAAAAAAAAGTAAATTATCAATCTTAGATCACTGATGCTATTTTTACCGTAAGAAACAAAAGAAATCCTAAAATAAACACTTGCCACAGGTGGGTAGTATATATATATATATATATATATATATATATATATATATATATATATATATATATATATATATAAAAATTGTGTATTTGGGTAGCAATCCCTCTTTATACAAATCTTGTTATAAGTTGATATAGGTATCATTTAAGATTTTATTTAATTTTTTTGTGTTCCTATAATTTATTTTTTTTCTGACATAAATTATGTAGACATATAGAACATTCAGACAATTTCTACATAATTTATGTCAGAGAAAAGAAAAAAATTATAGGAACACAAAAGACTTAAAGAAAAAACTTAACCACAATATCATGTCGGTCATATTTAATGAAACTATATATATATATATATATATATATATATATATATATATATATATATATATATATTGCACATTAAGTGCCGTGTTAGTAAAATAGTGCTCGATGTAATATAAGAGAGCTATTAAGTATATATTAATAAATGTACATATTCCTTACCAGCAACACATTTCATGCACAATGCAATCTTCAGGCTTCTACATAGCACCTGAAGATTGCATTGTGCCTGAAACTCCAAGTCGAATTATTGGTGAGGAATAATATGTATATTTTTTTTAATTATATATATATATATATATATATATATATATATATAAAATGATAGAGTTCTTCATACAAAATTTGAAAGCTTCTTTCCCAACTTTTCTTTCTTTTACTGACCAGGCTAAACATTGATTTATTTTGGTGAGATCCCCACGTGGGCACTTCATACTAAAGACCACAAGTGCCAAGCATAAGGTTTACAGGCATTGCTGCTGAGATCACAACTCTGAAGGTTATTTTCCTTCCAATTAATTCCTGGGTCCACCAAATCAAAGCTGTGGAATAAGGCTCTGGAGGAATTGGAATTGGTTGCAAAGATATATAGTGTACATCAAAAAAGCTGAAACGATTCACAGGCTTGCAAAGAGGAAGTTGTCTTAGGAGGCCAGCAAAATCCTTTATTACGGGGGAGGGGGGGAGATAATTTATGGATGCTTGTGAAAAATAAACAGTGATAGGTATAGAAGATCACAGTCTGCTTAGATTAAATACGTGGAAGAAGAAATAGCACAGATTACTATGGTTTAATATTGAAGAGATGCAATGGAGTTAGGTAGCCCGCAGCAAAGGGAATACTTAACAAGGAGGTTTCAAGAAGCTCGTAGAATTATTTATACTGCAGCTCCTTGTGATACAGGCATGCCTGTAAATTAACAGATGTGGGTTCTGATTCCTCTGGTGATAGACATGGCAGCAAGTGAGGATTTTATAGAGTGGTGTGAAAATTTTCAGAGATGTTAAGGCTTTGAAGAATTGCATGTAGTAAAAAGTGTGATTCAGGTGATTCAATAGATATTCCAGTTTGTATTTTCCATGGCTCAGAATGCCATCTAAGTGACGTAAACTGTAGAATGGATTAGATGGATCCCTGTGTATTGATGGCAGACTGCAGATCTTGAGCCAGTGAAATGCTTGCTGTAGGTGGTAAAAAGAAGATGCCAGGATAGAGAGAAAAATTTGATTGCGGATTATAACATAGGGATCTCTTTTATGCTGCTAAATTTAAGTTATTGATTACAGGTCACAGCCAGTAGCAGCAGCAGAGGTGGGTAGGAGGAGATTTTAAATGTTGGTGTTAAATTTTGCAAACCCCTGAAGGTACAATTTAATACCTATTAAATAAGGACCAAACGTATAACCAGAGCAGAAAAAGAACATTTTGCGTCAAGAGAGAGAGATAGACAGAGTTTGGTAAGTGTTTGCAGGAACAATTCAAATTTAGAAGATAGAGGATTTCACACCAGACATGACAGTTGAGCTACAAAGTGTGACTTAAATGAGGACTGTCCATTGAAAGAGACAAACACTTTCTAGCAAACTAAAAATATATGCATGCTGGTAAGTTGCATGCAGGTTTTAGTGATAAACAGTTGTTAGGTGGTTTGTCTGCTGTAAAGTGAATTTTTGAGATGTAAGTTAAAATACAGATTGCTAAAAGAATGTGATTCTCAAGCAACTAAACATCAATTGGTCTAGAGGTGGGTGGGAAAAGCCAAACTGCATATGTCATATCACTTTCCAGAGTACACTCTAAGACAGCTAGAAGAATTGTCATTTTAAAATAATCTGGCACTACTTAAATAGAATGGTCCCCTTGTAAAAAAAAAAAAAAAAAAAAAAAAAAAATGGAAAAATTCCTGGGGAATAATTTTTGTGGATTAATATTTTTTAAACCTTTCTCAAGCCATGACATTTGTCAGAATTGAAAAATATTGAGATTTTATTCATTCAGAAAGGGGGTCCTGTTAATAATTAATGCAGTGTCAAATCGATCCCTGACCTTTACTGATTTATCAGCACATTTTTTTTTTATATACAAATGTTGTACTTTGAAAATGTGCTTATGTTACTGATATCTACATATGTTAATTTATGTAAATCTTTCTTCTTTAATTAAAAATGTGGAACTACTTTAAAAGTCTATATATCTATTTGTTCTTTAATCCCCCCCCCCAAAAAAAAATATTTTGTAAAAAAATGAAAAGAAAAAATTCTATTTCACTAAACAATTCTGGTTTAAAATATTTTCTTAAAATAGAACATAAAAATGCATAAATATGTTTGTTCTTTATTTAAAAGAAATCTTTATGTAAAATAAAAAAAATCTGTTTTCATATATGGATATCAATGATAAGATAAAGAACAAATAGGAAATGTTTCTAAATCTAACGTTTTTGCTTTTATTAAAAGTTTAATCTGAGAATAAGATATGGATAAAAAGAAATTCTGACGTATTTATTTTTGTGTTGTTTGATTTTCAATGATTCAGCAGACTTCATGTGCATTTAGAGACCAATATGCACGGTTTCAAACTTGGCATTTGCAAATAAACAATTAATTTCTGATAACTCGGTAAAAGTCAGGGGTCAATTTTACACTGTATTGATATTATGAATCAGACCCCCCTTCTAAAATGATAACAAATCAATATTTTTTGATTCTGACAAGAGTTGCGGTTTAAGGGAGATTTAATGAATGCTAATCTACAAAAATTATTTCTAAAAAATATTTTCCCGACTTTTTGCAAATGGACCAGTCTACTTAAGTAGTGCTAATATTCCAAGTAATAAAATCCTTTTAAGATGAGGATGCTGGTAGCTTTAGTAGAAATAGTAAGGGCCACTGATGTCAAATACTAAAAATGCAAAGTGGAACCAAGGCCAATGAAATGAAGTGAGGTTAGAAAAAGGTTCCCCGCCTCCCCAGTCAAAGAATTCAGATTAAGACTGTAAAAAGATCTGCTATGAATTGCCATACAATAAGAAATGCTTAAGATGGTGCAAAGTGAAATTTGGGCTGGCAATTTGCTTTGATTGAAGAAGGATGCTGTTGAATGTTTCTTCTGTGATATTTTTAAACCACAAAACCAATTAGGTGCTATTGACTTTTGATAATGATGATTATGATAATGATGTGATGATGATGATACAAGGATCCTTATAAAATAATGGAAATTGGGGAGTGGGAAGAATCAATATAGATTGTCAGAGAAAATAAAATACAAATTCCAAACACCTTCTTGTACATCTTCATGCCATGATGTCAGACAGGTGGGAAAAGAAACCACTGTGAGTCTCTGCAAAATCTTTCATTTATTCACTCCAGGCCACGGTGTTCCTCGGGCTTCAGGAGATGCCTGACAGATTCTGGATTGTTGAAATCATATAGGCTGCTAACGACATTGTATAGATCCATGTAAAATTATATTAAGTGCAGAAAATGCAGCATGGATCCTAACGGCCTTAAGGTCACATAGGCTTGCCAAAGTTAAGTTGTACAGGACCTCATCCAGCAAAGCATGGGAGGCTTCAGAAGGTGACATATAGATCTCAGGCCAGTGATGAGATGTAGGCTTCAGAAAAAAAAAATTAAATTAAAATAAAAACAGAAGTAATTCCATATGCATCCCTAACCAAGCAGAAAAAAAAGAGCTTCATAAGATTGGTATAGAGATAGGCTCTGAAGCATAAATTGGATAGCCGAGTGGTGGGTCAGCTGCTTGGACGGTGAGGTTGCGGAGGATAGTCGGATGGGCTTGTATGCTGTAACGTTCCTCATCATCATTGGTGAAGTAGAGTAGCTCAAGGCTCAGATTGGCCCACTGACCACGCACAACCTCGGGGTTGAGGCGACCAACTTGCATCATTACATCCTGAAGGGTCAGCACACGACTTGTATATGTTGCCTACAAAAGCAAAAGAAAATTTTTTTTTATCATTAAAGGTTACCTGGTATTGAACAGATTAAAATGGCTTTTGAAATTATCAATCTTAATTGGGTCATTTTATTTTGTCAGACCCACATTTAACACAACAGATAAAAATAGGATAGATGAATTTTATTACAGGAATTTTCCCACAACCACTACATGGATCAATACGACTGCGCACATGGTAATATTGGAATGTTCCTGTCCTAAGTACAGTGCTGTTCGATAAAAGTGACTTAAAAGAAAACATATGGAGCATTATAAAGTACAGGCTCTTGAGAAAGCAGTTGAGCAACATGCTCCATAAGTTTTCTATGGGGTTGAGGTCAGGAGATTGGGGTGCCCATGTTATAACACTCACCTGCTTCTCATCAAAGTATTCCTTCATCAATTTTGATTTGTGACAGGTAACATTATCCTGCATAAAAATGAGCTTGGTGGGGTCGATTTGCACCCTTTCAGCAGAAGGGAGCAGACAAGACTCTAAAATTCTCTTGTACTGCTCACTCCTGAGGGTCTTTTCAATAGGTTTTAAAAAACCAGTTCCATGAAAAGAAAAGCATCCCCAGAACATTATACTGAATGGATGCTTGACAGTACTTACTGATAACTTCAAAGAGCTTTCAAAGCTTCTTCTTCTGATTTTAGATCGCTTATCCTTTGAATTTAGCTCAACTTTCGTTTCATCAGAGAAGAAAACATTTAGTAAAAAAATCAGGTGTGTCACTTTTATCGAACAGCACTGTACATCATTACTTCATTAAATGTGAAAGTTTGTTGATTGTAACTTGTTTGTGATTTATATTGCTGATTCCCTACCCATTTTAGTCATTGTGCACATATTTATGTTTTGTCTTTATTTGAGCTCTGAAGAGAAGGGAGCAATAACTTATTAAGTTTTTTGATGTTGTTTTTGCTTGTTATAATTTTCATCTCACCACTTAACAGTGTAATATTTTTTGATATCCTTGTTCTTCCTTCCCCTGTTTTAATATATTTCTATATATTATTATTATGTTTGTATATATATATATATATATATATATATATCTCATGTGTGTGAGGTCAAAAGGATTGAACATTTGAAGTTGAACAGGGCTCTCCAAAAAGGGGATGTAAACACAATCCTAGAAAATATTCAGTCTGAGCTTGTATGTAACGTTCGTGAGAAGGTTGTTCTATCTTGTGCCAGATTTGCCAGTCATCAAAGATCACATGAAAATCAACAGACTAATGCCATTTATGTGAATGTCCTTCCTGACAGACCTGCAGGGTACTTATGTCAGTTTTGTGATAAAATTTGCAGGTCTGGCACCAGGCTGAAGTGGCAAGTGTGAGTGCACAAGGAAAAAGTCACTTTCAACACCTTCAAAAAGTTTTTTGTGTGTCATATAGGTAAAAAGGTATGCAGGAGTGAGGCTAAATTGCAAAGTCATCTGCAGGCCCATTGCCGCAGTTCAAGGTTGAAGAGCTGGCTGTCTTCTGTAAAGTTGTAGTTATATATATATATATATATATATATATATATATATATATACACATACATACATACATATATATATATGTATATATGATAAAAATATAGTTTTAAGGTATGCTATATTTATAGGTAAAAGTGCTCAATATCAGAGATAGTGTATATGTAAATATAAAAGTGGACACTGAGGCAACAGTCTTTTTCATGTACCAAGACAATCTTCAGGCCTGAAGATTGTGTTGAAGCATGAAACAGACTGTCACTACTTGGAGAAGTTAAATCCTCATTTTGTTTGTCAAAAAGAAGCACCATTTACCAAAAATCTGCTTTGAATTGCTTTTATAAATAAGATACAAGAACACTATTGTCTTCAGAAAATTTTTTTTCAATGAATAATGAATTTTTACATTTTTTTAAAAATTTTACTTATCTTTTAAGGATAATTAATACATCTGGGTCGTCTATTGCACAGCATATCATAAATAGCAGAAATTGTGTCTCTGAATTTAGTGCGGACAGTTTTTCTATCTTATCAAGGTCTCACTCTTCATAACTCCTAAAGGTTCTGGAGTCCTTATATATCAGATCCTGCAAGAGGGATTATTTGCTGGGTCTGAATATTATTGGACTTTAGTTTTCCTTGTAATTTTTTTTCCCAATCAGTCATCCTCTACTTAGCTTACATGTCTCTTATTTTAATTCCCAAGAGTAAACTTGATAAGACTGGAATGAAACCGGTTGTTTTTTAGCTATTAGAATTTACATTAAAAATGCCTTTTTAATTATGCTTATTCCTTGCTATTATAAAATTTTTTACACCAAAAAATTTGTTTATATATATATATATATATATATATATATATATATATATATATATAGAGAGAGAGAGAGAGAGAGAGAGAGAGACATATACACAAGTGTTGGTAGCCTTTTTTAACCAGTATATTGGACTTTGACATAAAATCCTCACCTAATCTCTGGACTACTTTTAAGGTCTATTACTTCAGTAGCTTCTGCATATCTAGCAATGCCTAAAAATATTGCTAAATAATTTTGCATATGCACTGATTGCATTACCTTATGTAAGCACTGTCTTGTGTAAGTAGCTTTTCTTTTCTTTTTTTTACACTGACTTGTATATTTTTTCTATTTCAGAGTTACCATCTTCTTCTGTAAATAAACCTGCTGACTACAGATGCTACATTACAGCATTCAGTGTGATTAATAAAAGTAAAATAATTTATTCTGGCTGCCGTGAACAAAAGAAAGTACAAAAATGACAATGAGCAATGAGAAACAAGAGAAAATAAAGATCAAAAAGTAGCATAATAGAATACAACGAGAAAACAATTTTATTTTTAGTACAAAAGAAGCCACAAAATGTATTCGTTTTTGCTGATGAAGGACAATTTTCAAAGTCAATCTGAAATCTCAAAAATGGTCACTTTTAAATAAATAAACCAATTTCATATTATATCTAAAAAAAAAAAAAAAAAACCCCAAAAAAAACATATATAAAATTTAGTGAAAGATGCTTACAAGAGATGATCATTACATGTTGATAGTAAAATAGAAAACTGATTTCTCAAAATGAATTTGCATTAATTAAATTAATTTGATTTACAAAATGAAGAAAAGAAAAAAGAATTCAAAAAGAAAAAGTGCAAATAGCACGAAAACACTGCCCGATTCTCAGTCTGTAATATTTTCCTCTTTATTTTTTCAACTAAGTGATTTTTAAACAAGCAATTTTTTCCATTTTTCTTGTCAAATCCAATTTATTTCAAGCTTGTGTTTAATTTTTTTTTTTTTTTTTTAAGTGTATTCAAATCTGCTTGGAAGAAAAGATTATTTCCAAAAGTCTTATAAAACACAACCAAACAATTTCTTTAAAACTGCCACAATCAATGTTACAATTAATTTTTTATTAGGTAAGTCTAAATTCTCTGCTCATGTTTTCATTAAAATTTTTCATTATTAAATTATTACTGTTAATAATGAAAACAAGACAAAAAAAAAAAAAAAACATAATGATTCATCCCATTAGCAATCATAAATTGCTTAATTGACCTCGTCTACTTCCTTTTTTAAGGAAAATATCACAAAAAAGAAATCACAAATAAATTAGCCTTATTTTTTTTGGGTACCGTACTCATAGTAACTATGATACTATGAGTATGGTACCCAGTAAGGATCAAAATTATTAGAGTAGACTGCAAGATGGGTTTTTAATTATTGTTCCAAGATGAGACAACCAATTTTAGCTTTTGTTGATAATTCAACATCTCTAATGGTTGTCATTAAGTTTAGTCTGGCACAAGGCTATGAAGTTTGAGTACCCAGAGTGGTTCATCCATTCAACATCTCTAGTAGAGAAGATGTGGTTAATCTCTGAGAAGAGGATTAATATTTGTTTGCAGTTTGATAATTTTTTTAAAACACCTTTAATTTTTTTTAAATCACCTTCTTTGATAAGGACAGTGTAAAATAGAGAATGATTGATTGTTCTGCTTAGTCTGGTAGAAGGCCATGAATATAGAACACCCAGTAAAGATTATTCATTCAACTTTCTAATGGAAATTGTAAATCACCTTTTTTGCTGAGTGAAGTTTGTCCCTCTACTTAGCTTAGTCTGGCACGAGGCTATGAGTGTAGAGCACTCAGTGGAGATTGTTCATTTAACATCTCTAATAGAAAGGATATAGTTGATAATCTTTAAGATTTGATTATTGGTTAAATGTAAATCATGTTCTTTGTTCCTCTGCTTTGTTTGTACTGTTATTACAGGACTATAGTCAAACCCAACAAGAAAATAATATGACAATACACTGCATGGAATTTGGCTTTAAAAATGACATTTTCTGGACTAACAGACATTTCACTGATTTAAACATGAATAAGGTTAATGATCAGGATTTTAAAGTTTGTCTTACTGAATACTTTCAAATGAACAAGTGAATTCAAGTTGGCAATTTTTTAAAAATTTTCATAAATACACAATTCTTGTTTTTACCCCAAAAGCTCAACTAATTGATTTTTAAGACTTTAAGATACAGGAGTTATCAATAGATTTTCTTAATTATTTAACAAAAGATTTAATATCCTGACATTGCTTTAGAGTGCATTGGAGACAAGAGATCACATACCTGAGAAGTGTTGTGTCCCAGAGAGAAGAGGTGAGGTTTCCCAGCTAGGATCGCTCGACTCCAGTCAGGATCAGATTCTAGACCAATGAACCAGTTCCGGTCGTAATCTTCCAGGCATTCCTGAAGTTCTTCATGACTTGTGATTGGATTCATCAGCACTTCATCCATCATCAACTTGAAACCATATCTGCAGTAATAATCATAACAAGACATCAGCAGCTGATAATAAAGTTGATAAAAATAATAAATACAAAATTTGTTATTTAATTTTGGTCTGAAGCTTTAGTGTCTTTAAGGTAAATTATTCACATTTTTTTCTACATTTTGTTATGATTTAATTTTTAAATGGGCTTTTCATGGCATAGGGAGTAGGTTCAGCATAGTTTGGGGCCACGTTCTGCTATATTTACAACATTGACAGCGATGATATTTTTTAAAAAATGCATTTATTCATAAGAACATTCTGAAGTATTTCAAACATTATATTACTATACTTTAATTTATTCAAACTATTTTCTCATTTTGATTATTGGAGCTATGATTAGACATGTTTCAGCCAAGTACCCATTCCCTTTTGGCTGACATATATCAAGCACCCATTAATTTTGGGCTGACATCTGTCAACCATTGTGATACCAGTTTTTGTTTGTTCCTGCTAAACCAATACATACACTATTTCACTACCTGATCCAGGGATTGAACTCTCAACTGCTAGATGACAGCAACATATGTTTAACCAATCCTATATATAGTATATTTGAAATTTGGTCATCATGGCAGGTCTGTACCACTTTTGATAATTTCATATTTCATTATTTTTTTGAGATGAAGAATTATCAATATACTTTAAATTATTCAAGTTACTGCTCTCATCATGATTATTAGAGAGGTTATAGAGAGAACGTTTATTTATTTCAAAGTAATCATCGGCTATATTCAGATGTCTATTAATTTTTGGCTGATATATGACTATCAGTAAACAAAGAAAGGTAAATTATGTCTTATAATTTAAGACCTGCACTTTAAAGAATTTCACTTTTTTTTTAATTCATGAATATGAAAATCTTTGGGGTTATTTTTTGTGAAATTGACTCTGCTTCAGAATCAGTCTCTTTTCAGTGTTTTTATTAGTAACTGGTTAAATGGCCTTAAATGAACTTTTAACTGGGAATTTCTGGGCTTGTTGGGCTCAAGCACAAATGGAAATTGCTGGTGTAATTTAATCAGGCCAGGTTTCAGAAGCCCATAAGATCAATGTCAATGTTCCTCAGGATTCTTTCCTCAGTCCTACCTTCTTTCTGCTTTCTTTGCTAAGAACATATTCTGATCCTTAGTGAATATCTATGTGGATGCTAAAACAGTTTATAGGTGCCCCTCCAAAAATCTGGATGGCTAGAACCTAGCAGCTCATCTCTCCTCTGACATGGCCCTGGTGATTCAACGAGGAAATTGTAAAATTGAATATATCCAAAAGCAAAATAGTAATGTTCCAGCACCATCGAGCAGACCATAAACTGTCACCCATCATGATGGATAGGTGTTCTCTGAAAGAGCCTTCTTACCTTGAATGTCTATTGGAAATCACCCCAGACCTCAAGTGAAACTCACCCCAGACCTCAAGTGGAACACATATATGTGATCTACTGATAAAGATGAAGGAAAAATGGACAGTTCATTGTACCATGCCAATAAGTATCTGACTCCCTCTGCTATACTGTATCTTTACAAGAGCCAGATCAGACCAAAAATGAAGTATTACTGCCATATCTGTATTGGAGTTGCTTCACTTACCTGTCTTGAAACAGTTCAAAAGCGTCTACATGTCTCATGATGGGTGACAGTTTAAGGTCTGCTCGATGGTGCTGGAACATTACTATTTTGCTTTTGGATATATTCAATTTTACAATTTCCTTGTTAAATCACCAGAGCCATGTCAAAGGAGAGATGAGCTGCTAAGTTCTAGCCATCCAGATTTGTGGGTGATTAATTATTTTCCAAACTACAACCCCTTTCCAAAAGTTGAAATGTCACAAACTACTTGCTACTCTATCCCTATTTTCATGACGAGCTACATTCCTTGGTTCCACGAACATTGATCTTTGCAACTGGAACCACCTATGCCACATACACAAGGATGAATCATCGTTATTCCCTTTATATTCCATTAGTAAGAAGTAATTTCCACTTAGAGAGTTTCCTGCCAAGAAATGCTGCTTTGTGGTAAAAAAACTGCCAGCAGAATGTTTTTCAAATCACTACAATCTTGACCTCTTCCAGTCTAGGGTTAACTTTTATCTTTCCAGCATAACCTCAGGAACTTCACTTCTTGTCTTTTCTAACACCACACAGTAACCCTCTACCTTGAATGACTCTTGAGCTTTGTATATTAGTATAAAAAAATGTAATTCATAAGAGGATGTTTTTCAGGAGTTTCTGTTTTTCTATTGCATATTAGAAATATTTTTCATGTATTTTATTCAACTCCCATTGTCATCTTCAATGACTGATTATCTTCAGTCCTGTTGTAAACAGCTACAATTATCCATAACTGACAACAACAAATGCCAGAAATGACTCATGGGGATTTCTATAAGTTATATAGGAACGCAATACTGAACTCTGAACTGTTATGTAATATTGGTCCTCCTATATGACAGTGAATGCTGGACAATCTTCTAACAGATGAAGAGACTTGCTTGAAGCAACAGAAATGTGATTCTACAGAAGGAAGCTGATAATACAATGAACCAAATGTGAGCAACAATAAAATTTTAGAGAAAATGGAAACAAAATGACAATAATGGGTATGTCCCCATTTACATAAATGCAGTAGTAAATACTGTATGTTGGTCTGCAGTTGGAGATTCATTGTGGAATTCACTTGACTACTACTTCTATGTGCTGCTGGCAAATCTTATATGTGTTGTTCTTGTCCTACGTATTATCATTCATTACCAACCTTCATGTGATTATTCTAGTTGGCAACCTTCCCTAGATTACAACAATAACTTACCTAGCAAGCTTGAGTGAATTGATGGCAGAACAAGGTTTAGGAGAGATAACGAAAAGACAAAATTTATTAAGGGCTACAAAGAACAGGAAATTGTGGAGAGCCATGATCACCAACATCCTGAAGAGACACAAAATTACAAATGTCTACAAAAAGAAGTAAGATTTAATTTTTTTTTTTTTGGTGGTGGACTTATTTTAACATTTACTTGTACAACACTAGTACCACCTACTACAATAGACTGAATTGATTTTCTCAGAATACTATCAATCTTAGGTAATCAATCAATTTGTTAATGACATACCTGAAAGCTTTAAGAACAATATTTTGTAGATCTTTGTTTTCTGCAAGCCAATCCCACATGGCATTCCAGGGAATGTTTCCAATATAATATTTGTACAAATAGCTAGCTGGCATATGAATGTCTGAAAATATAAACAAACGTATTATTTAGTGAACTAAAAATATGATCATTCTTTTATGGCAGATAACACAATTTCAAAGAAAAGCAAGGAAAAGTCTTTAATGATTGAATAATGATGCTATGAATTTATATGAGCAAAGAAAATTTCATTAATAATACTGGAAACTTTTGTAATATGTAAGACTTTTCTAATTGGGAGAAATTAAGCAAAGCTGCATAGTTTCCTCCATAGATTAAGTACCAATTTATGGTTGGCTAATTCTTTCAAGTGATGTTCCTAAGTGAAAATTTTATGAGCAGCATTTCATTTAGGGTAGGTAGTGTAATGGATATCAGAATAAGTGAGCAGAATTCTAGTTTAGTCTGTTGTGTCTACTTTCACACAAATGCCCTTGAGAGAAACTTGAATCTGTTTCTTCTCCCTCAGCTATAGGTTAAATATCTATAGACTAGGCTCTTCAGCCTTGGTCAGCAACCAGTCTAAGTGAATTGTTTGGTTGATTTTTTTTTAGCAGCATATCAAACTTCTATGGGTTATTTAATGCTGAAATCTAAATATTTTGAACATAATTTTATGGCTTCAAGTACAGATATTTTGTACATAATTTATACTTTCATGGTAAATATATGTTTTATAGATATATGGTTTGTATATGATCTGTTGAAGCTGTTATATGTTTTGGTATAAACCTATTTCTTTAAGGTAGGACATTATGTTAATGGTTTCAGTATTTTCAAATAAAGTCTAAGAGGAATAAAACTCTAAATTGCTGAAAGTAGAGAAAGAAACCGCTCCATAATTCACTTTGATTGAAGAAAAACAATGGCTATGCAAGGAATGTTTACAGTTTGTTAGCTGTTAACTTTGCAATGATTTCTTTTCTGAACATTTTGAATGTTTGAAGCAAAAAATGATGGTATTTTATTTTGTAAAGACATTTGTACAATATGCCGTAATACCTGTTTTTATTCAGAGTTAAATTACTTTTTCTCTTTTTGAATTGCATGAAATGCAAAAGAAAAAAGAAAACAAAAAGCCAAGAAATAAACAAAAATCAAAATCCCCCCACCAATAAAACAACACAACACAAAGAAAAAAAAACATACAACAAAAAGCAAAAGACAAAAATTTACAAAAAAAAAAAAAAGAAAGAAAAAATTTTCATTTCATTTTTAATAAATTAATCCAGAAAGAAAGATTTTGTTGATCACATCTTTACAGAACTTAAAAATGTAGCTCTAGTCAACAATTTAAAGCACACTCAACAGGTACACCAATAGTCTATTGGTTACCAATAGTTAAAGTTCTAATCTACTCCCAGGCACTACATCTAAGAGATTGAATTTGTGTAACAAAAAAGATACAAAAAGGTTTTGTTTCAATTAGAGTGTGGTTTAACCAAAACAATTACCTACCTTGGGATTCAAAAACTGATGAGCAGGCCATAGTTAGCTGAGAGTAACTGTTAGCCAAAAGGTTGTCGGCTGCGACCTCCTCAATAACATGTTCGACGGGCATCTGGTGTGAGGCTGACCAGGCCAGCTGGCCAAGGACATGTGTATACCAGTCCCGAGGGAAACCATCCTGTAGTTTCAGTAGCCATGTTGGCTCAATGGGCAGCTCACGCCACTTGACCGGCAGACTTAGTTGTGAAGAATAGATGCACTTGAAATCGGGAGAGCCAGCCAAGCTTGTCAGCGGACGGTAAATGCTGCTGCTCCCATTGGAGGTCATTTTCTTTTGGTTATTCTTGGAATAACATGGCTGTGGAGAAATGCTGTGAAGAAAATAGGAGCTAAACATCAGTGCCAGATTAACTTATGAGCAAGAGTAGTAAATGCTAGTGGCCCCACATTTTTAAGGACCCTATATTAACTATGTCCAAACTGTCAGTTGAATTGGAATGTTAATGCTTGCATGTCAAGGGAGCTGCATCTTTATTCATTCATTTCAGGTAACAAGTTAAATATTTACCTGTTTTATAAGCTCTATCACTATACTAATAAATATCTTGTGATTTAAAATATATTGGAAAAAGCAAGCAAGAGCTTAGATATTTATAATACAAGAAGAAAACATTCTTCAGTACTGGATTAAACTAATAGCAAATGCTACAGGTTCTGCATTTTTGAGGGCTCTGGACTAAATACTTTCAAGCTATCTGGTGAAATTGGCTTCTTATGATCTGACAATTCTAATGTTTACAAATTCAGGGAAGCTGCATTTGTAATTATTCATCATTTCAGGTAACATATCAAGGATGTTAAATCTACTCAAATATCTTGTTAGATTCATATTTTTCTGGGTTTGCTTATCATGTTGATAGAAGTTAAATATTTACCTGTTTTATTACTATACCAGTCAATAACTTATGATTTTATATTTATGTGTATTTTAATATTATTATTATTTAGGACCACTTCATAATATATGTTACAGGCCCCAGATTAGCTTAATCAGGCCCTTATAACCATCCATAGAATCAAAAACTAAAAGGATCACAGATTACCAATCATGGTTTTACTTAACTGCAGCTGACCAAATCAGTAAAACTTCAAGATGTATTAAGCTAAGACTACTTTGCAAAATATATATTTATAATATTATAATATATTATTAAGATAGTTATCAATATATTAAGATATTATTAATATTATAATATATATTCAATGAATCAAGTATTATAGCAATCTCCAAGATAAGAGCACCAACCAATCATGCTACTATCTATATGACCTTGCATTACTAGCTACAGACTAATCATAATGGTGTTATATGTTAGGTTATTCTTTAGTCTCTTTGTGGTGTATAAGGCCACAATTCCTTCATGTCATGGGTGATGATGTTAGGGTTCAATAGGAAGCAGTTACTTTTATTTATTGGGTTGATTTGCTAGACCACAAGACACATACCCAACTCTCCTTCTTTATTCGGGCTTGGAATTTAAGTGAATTTGGAGCCCAGTCTGCTCAGTTATCTTAGCTGGGGAGAAGAGATGAATTAAGCTTTTACTAAAAAAAGCTGAATGAGGTTGCTTCCTCAACCTTTTGAACCCAAATGCCCTGATGAGTATGGATCTCCCACACTGGGCCCCTGCTTGTCCATAACTCTGGCCAGTATATCTGCCACTTGGGTTCAAAGGGTTAAAACTTAAAAAATGATGTCTGTTTATGCCATCTCTTAGACTCCAAATTATATCCTGAATAAATCTGTTTTAAAATGGTGTTTTCTTAAAGCTTCAAAGACAATGGCTTTGTAATTTGTAGAGTGCATTTAAGTGTGAAACTGACAGTCAACAGTCATATAGTGTGGATTCCTGTCTACACAGTCAGTCTCTCTCTCTCTCTCTATATATATATATATATATATATATATATATATATATATATATATATTATTACTTAGACGTTTTTAGTGGGTATCCATATTCAAGTAGACACTCCATTTATTTATTAAACAGTATATTTATTTTCACCTACTGGCCTGAATAAAACTTGTTAAAATCAATATTTTTTCAATCGATAACTAATTGATTTTCAATAATTTTATTAGTTCTCTAATGTTTTCAAATACTAAATTATATTTTCAACAGCGACATGACATTCTACAGCTATATTTGTCTCCTTGCCCAACATTTTTAAGCTAGATCTAACTTCTTGAGTTTAACCATTCTAGCTAAGCAAGGAAAGAAAATTTATTAAAGAAAATTATGCACTCTCCAGCAGTATTCAAAATTGCATCCCCCTTGGCAGTAGAAACCGTCATTAGATCCAACCTGTCTCAGCCATGAAATGCATCGATGATCAAGCAAAGGATTTTTATTTATTAATCCGACAGATTTTATTACTTTATGACCAGATGGTGTGTGTGTGCATGTGTAATTATGCATATATATATATATATATATATATATATATATATATATATATATATATATATACACACACACACACACACATACATACAGATTGAATTAATGGAAGTGAGTTATATCTCTTAATTGTGACATGCAAGATATAACCAAAAAGTTATTAAATACTTCCATTTTATAACTCAATTGAAAATTTTACAAACTAATGCACATGAAACATTATATCTTACAACAATGTTCTTTGTCTTTCAAAATTCTGAATCTGCAATAAATTAAACCAAAAATTCTTACCTATTAATATCCGAGACAGGTAATCCTAAGGCCCTAGGCTCATCAAATAAATCGTCATCCTCAGACTCTTCCATGATTTCTGGCTTAGCCCTTGGCTGGACAATGATCGTGATGGGAGATATCTGGTCCTTCTTTAAAACAGTCATTGGCGCCTTCTTTCTGCTATCCAGTGTGTCCCGGTCGTCTGACCAAACACTGTCCGTAAAGCTGACCACAGAGGACGCCCATGATAGCTTTCGCCTCTGCACAGTGGCCACAGCATTTGTGACTGCAGCCGAATCTGCAGTAGATGGGCGTGACGAACCCTGGCTCCCATCAACACGGAAACCGTTGCCCATTGACAAAACATCTGGCTCTACCATTGAGGCCTTTTCAGTCTTTTCTGCCGGAATGTCAACAATTTGTGAAGTTTTATCAAGAAATGGTAATTGCGATTCCTCCTTTTTCTCTTTCACCTTGAAGACATGATGCAGCAGAAGCCAGATGAAACTCTTTAAGAAATAAGATTTGGTGATGAGAAGGCTGTTGGGAGAGTCAATCACCCCAATTAGGACACTGCGAGCATCTGAATAAGTCCGCACAGGGAATGCATCATATGGTGTAAGTGTGTGGAACGGGTATTTGTTGAACATATTCCAACTGAAGGCTGACACAGATGAAGTAGCATTACTGTGCTGGTGGGGCTCAAATGTGCTCTCAAAGTGCGTGTCAATGTGGGTTGCCTCCACCGTGTGGCAAGTTGTTTCTTGCAGTTCCAGTCCCTTAACACTGACACACACGTGGCTGCTACCTTGTTCCAACACACTAATCCAGGCAAGTCGATCCTGGAAGCGTACTAAATAGTAACTACCTGGGTATGGATCACCTAAAAAAGATTATGAGGAGGAAAAAAGAAATTAAACAGGTCATCAACAATATCTAATTTAATATTAGAACAAAAGAATTTAGATTTCCTGTTTTAATTGTGCCATTGAAAATAAAGAAAAAATAAATAGATGCACTTCAGTGTACATTAAATTAAGTAAGTACCCACCATCTTATCACAAAAATTTCAATGACATTTTTTTAAATTAGTACAAACTAAAAAATGCCTATAGTTTATGTGATGAGTGTTATTGAATGTGATACAAAAACATCTTTCTTTAAAATCTATGTATTTAAGCCCACCTCAAAAAAAAAAAAAAAAAAAAAAATGTTCCTATAATAAAAAAGACAGTATAATTGAATTTTGAACATCAAAAATTATGTTTCTTTAACAAGTTGAATGCATGTAAAACATGATTAACCAATGAAAATCAAACAACTAAATGGGGAAGCCACTCATATCTGAGGATGCCAATTTACTAGGGCAGCTAGCTAATCCCCATTCAACACCCACAGAGACCATCTGTGGTTTATACTGCAATTATGTTGAGCAGATCTTAGTTACAGTTTCTGGGAGAGAGTGCGTTATCTAACAATCAGCAGTCTGAATAAGGCCAATATGCTCAAACCCTTGGTCATGATGACTTGTGACTTTGTTCTAGCACAACCACCGATGACTCCCAATTACACTCACCAGACTTGGGAGAACCTGTGGTGTGGTTTTTCAGGCACTTTCCAAAGGTGTCGCACGCTGAGATCACCTTCTCCAGACTGATATCATTAAGAAGTTACCTTCCTGACAAATCGACCATGGTGAGATTTGAACCTGGGTCTCATGGTCAGAACGCAAACGTTCTAATGACTCAGCCAAATCAAACAACATGAAAGTAAAAACACCAGAATTTTTTCTTCTTTTTATCCATATCTCATTCTCTGATGAAGCTTTAACAAATTGAAACATGTTAGATTGATAAATGTTTCCTGTTTGTTATCTTATTATGGATTCTGATTTATATCTAATCCCAACTCACAGTATAATTTGTAAATAAAAAAAAATGCTTTTTAACTCACCATTTCAAATAGCTATGTGTAAGCTTACAGTGTTTGCATGCTGAAGGCTTTTATAAGCAGTTATCTCTTTACCCTCTCTCTTTTTTTATATTTATGATCTGAAGTGCTTAATCTACATCAATATAAAGAAAAAAAAAAGATTATTTCTGGTCACAGTGCCTATTGTAAAATGCTGGGATTTAATACAGGAAATGACTGGATGACTCATGTAATTCTTCTGTAAGGGTCTTGTGACATCTTGCAGAAATAACAACCGATGATACCAAAAAAAAAAAAAAACAGAAGCCAGTTGTAAAGATAACTTATTTTCCCTGTTTTTATATGGTTTACATTTGGACGACTCCTTACCAGACATTGTATAACCTATTTGCATATCTGTGCTATCACTAAATCTTTGAATATAAAAAAAGATATTTGTAAAATTATTTTACTGGCACCAATAATCAGTATTCAAGCACAGGTCAAAAGCTAAGACACTGATTTTCAAATCTAGCAGCCAGCACCACTCCATTTGAATGATTAGTAAAATATCCCATTCTTACTAGGTTGGCCAGAAAGTCTGAGACTCACTTAGGAAGTGGAAAGAAAACAACAAATCTTGATCTCTGTCTGGTAGAATTTCCAAGGAGTACTGTATTTCGAGCTTGTTCCACATGGTCGCACCATCAACGCTAAACTGTATTGCCAGCAGCTAGACTGTGTATACAACAAAATAAACAAGGAGTATTCTGATTTGGTCAATTGAGGTTGGGCTTTCTTTCAGCAAGACAATGTGAGGCCATACACTGCCAGGTTGATTAAGAAGAAGTTCAAACAGATGGATGATGTTGAAATTCTTCCACATCCAGCATTCAGTCCCGATGTTGCTCCAAGTGATTATGGCCTACTCCACTCAATGGCACACTTCCTCCATGACCAGTGATTCAACACTTTTAATCAAGTGAAGGAAGCTTGTTTACAGTTTTTTAATTCAAAGCCAGCGGACAGGTGTCTGGGACAGATTTGGATGCTGGATGATCACCAGCAGAAGATCATTGAGAATGATGGACTTTATTTTGAAGAATAAATGTTGGTGTTGCTCCATAAAATTTTGTTGTTTTCATTCCACTTCTTAAATGAGTCAGAACTATCTGGCCAACCTAATATATAGACATTTATGGAATTTAAAAAGTTCTGTGTTTGTATGTATTTTAGTTGGGTGTATGTTCTCCTGTAAACAATTAAAGAAGAAGCATACAAACATTTTTTCTACCACAGACTATTTATTCTCTTTGTATATATATATGTATATATATATATTTAAATATGTTTTTAACGATACAAAAACATATTATGGCATTAAAGGCAAGAAATTTTTTACTATAGGCCATGATAAAGTTAAAATTTTCTATAGCGGATCACTTGACAAATAATCTGACCTGTGCTATGGATTTTAGTATGAGCTGGTTCTCTGTTCTGGCCAGAGCACACTCGTTATTCCATCTGAAGGTGTTGGAAATGCTGATCATCAGGTCCAGGCGACCCGCTCTTCGTAAACAAAGAGATTGTTTGCTTGAGCTTGCAGTGCTGTGTCTCTAGCATCTTTGGTGTTATAACTTTTATTATTATATTTTTTTTTCCTGTTCATTCATTCACGTCATCTGCGACAGACTTTCTTCTCATAATTTGTTTCCCCGTTTACAGTTCTGACGAGAGGGGACGAAACCGGTCGACTTGTTTTTGTTTTAAAATTTATCATGGCCTATAGTAAAAAATTTCTTGCCTTTAATGCCATAATATATATATATATATATATACACACACACACACTGTTTTTAATGTCTCTTCAGTATGTTTGTTTTCATTTTGGTCCAGTATTTAGGGTAAGTATAAGCATTATATTAATGGTTGAGCTCAAGTGAGCATATGCAGGGTTGGAACTACCAAAGGAAAGTTTAAACATTGCTATAGGATGTCCATTCTTCTTTTAGATAAGACTGTTCTTCTGTGGCCTTTTACAAGTGCAGATCAGACCAAGAGGGAGGAGAGACAAAAATGAAGGAAATTACTTACCCAAACTCCCTGAAGTAAAGGCACTATGCAGACTGCGTATTAAAGCCATAGCAAACTGGCGATAATAAATGGTGTCCGGGCAAATATTGGCTGAACTGCCAATTGGAGCTGGCCAAAACTTGACTGGCCGTGGAAAGCCAATGAATAGAAGTGGCAGCGTAAAAAGGGGCAATAGTGGTGCACTGGCAACTGTTGTCATGGCGATGAGCAGTAGCACGACGGGAAAGAAGATGACAGAGAGGCAGAAAAGGGTGCCAGTGCCGTGACGTCTCAGCTTGCGATCGGTGAGTGAAGTGATGAGGATGGTGAGAAAGAAGTAGACCTTGTTGATAAACTGCACGAGACGGTCACGTGCAAGGCTGAGCAATAGCAGCAGCAAAGGAGCGTACCGCTGCTGGAAGAGCCAAATGTCTAGCGGATTCATCAGGATGAGAAAGTGGCACACAGACACCTCGAGCAGGGCATGCACGGTGCTTTGCCACACCTGTCATTAAAAGTAAGAAAAAAAAAAAGAAAAAAAAAAAAAGAGAAGATTTATATCATATTGTGAAAGAAAAAATTCTATAAAATATACTGTAGGTTGTAGATAGTGAAAGCCCAAACAATATATATCCAGAATGTATCCAACCATTTTGATTATCTTCAAAATTGGTTGCACAGTCTCCATGTAATTTGGCAACCAATCAGATGGGACCTTTTTGCCAATGTATGAAAAGACACTCTCCTATTAGGTTACAAAATTAGCAGTGAGACACTGTTAAAATAGACTGACACGGATTCACCAGGCAATTAGATTGGTTTGGTTAACAGCATATTAGTTCCTTATGAGCCATTTAATTGGTAATTTAAAAAAAAAAAATGTATTGCTGATAATTTTTCTTTTCCTTTTTCAATAATGTATTGTTGATAATTGTTTTATTATGAAATTCTATTTCTGGTATTCTTACTACAAAAATGCATTTTTATACTTTCATAATGTTTGGTCCCAGTTTGAGGGTTCACTATTTTCCAACAGCTGAGACCCTAACAGATGCTACCATCCCAGGTCAGCATGGACCTAGGAACAACAGCAATTGAGAAGTGGTTCCACACTCTTCAAAACCTCCCAATCAGAGGCCTTGCTGCCAGATGTATTTTATCATCATACCCAGGATGACTAAACAATTAGAATTATTTCTTAAGTGAAGATTAGTTTTGGCACAAAACTATAGAGCACCCAGTGAGAATCAAGCTCACAGCACAGTAGTAATGGTGAATTAGACTCTCTCAACATTATCTCATGGCGAGGCACCCCAGGCAATTAGAATTAACTGACTTTGAAGAAATATCATGAGCTTTTATTTTATTGAGCTCCATATGTTATAGTGATTTTCCAAGTGTAGCTTGAATGTGGCGCAAGGCCGAAAGTAAGGGGCACTCAGTGAGGATCAAACTCACTACTTATTTGTAACTGTTCTAGTGAGACAAGCTTGCTAACTATTACACCACTTTGAGGTGCCCAAGCTCCATATGCTATATGGGCCTCTCTAATACATACATAAAAACAACGACACCACAATTCTATCATGACTGCATTTACAATGACCAAGCAGATAGATTGGTGGCCTTGTGCAGGTTTTTAGCAAATATTGCAACACCCAGGTATATCAGTTCACACCACATTCCAGAATATTTCAAGCAATACTCAAAAACAGTATTTTTTTTTATCTTTTTAGAAAAAATATTGTTTTAAACAAACATAAGCCACAAGAAATAAAGACCTGTCAAAGATAATTCCGAGAGTAACAACTTTCAGCTACTACTACCATGAAATGTGATATACTGTATATAATTGCATATCATGTAACATTTAAAGACATAATTTTGAAGCTAATTTTAAGGTGGTTGTATCATACATGAGATATATAATTAGTGTATGTACTGCTGGTACTAACTAAGCCATTAACCAAATTATACATCTATTTACTGTAAAGGTCGCATGATACACAAGTATATATGGTAATTACGAGATCCTGTTTCTTCCAAGTGTTCACTTACTCTTATCTGTCAAGCACTGTGACAGAATACAATTTGAATTAACTGATAGGTGGTATAAAGTTATGGAAAATACTTTTGGGGACTGAATAACAATGCTATAAATTTATAGAAACAAAAGAATTTTAAAAAAATAAAAAATTCTGGAAACTTTTGCATCAACCTAATATGATGGAATACATATTTTTAGCTGAAATATTTTCTGGGAAAATATTTTAATGACTGAATAATGCTATCAATAATTATGAATAAAATATTTGGTTTGGTTAGTGAGTTTATCAATATTTCAACCTTCATTGAATTACTTAATGTCAAATATAAGCTTCATGGGATAAAAATCACAATGATTCATCAAAATGATAAATGTGGTAGGTGCTGATTTGTGAGTAGAGATTTAGCCAAAATACATATAAATGCCTAAAATATATACATTTGAAAATTTGGTTAAATATATGCACACACACACACATATATATATATATATATATATATATATATATATATATATATATATATATATGAATGCACATATATATATGTATGTCATGGAATCATGGAACCTTAAGGTTGTCTCTTTTTATATATATATATATATATATATATATATATATATATATATATACACACACACTGACCAAATCTTCAACCCTGTTGACAGGGATTAGAATATGCTAACTGTACACAGCACTTCCTGCAGAGGAGTATGACCCCTCTAAAAGTGAACATCCTCAAAAAATTTTTTACACACACACACACACACAAAGAATAAAAGCTTAAAATATAAAATAAACTGAAGGCTCAAAATGCCAAAGTTGACAGAGTCTAAACATAACAATATCATTAATTTAATAATACCAAAATTCACTACTCAGAGTTTCATGTGATAATAATTTTGGTATTATTGAATTAATGACATTGTTATATTATAAACAAACACACATGTGAATATATGATCAACAAAAATATATATACTGCGTTGAAACCATAACAATCAAGTCATTTTAATGTAAAGAGAACTGATAATGTAATAATACAGGGAAAAGTGGATTCAAACCTTTCCCAAAGTATTTGTATGAAGTAAACAGTCTTACCTAGGATTTGAACCTTGTTCTTTGGCAGTTTTTCATTTTTGTGTCAATAACCATTATACCACCTTGATATGTTATATAAGATATCAGTAGGTACATGCAATGTATGAAAAAAAGCTGACTTACCCAACGGAAACTCCTCATAATACCAAGTGACCACCACACAAGGTGAGTACTGTTCATTTGGTCCACCAGGGCTAATGCTGGTTGCACGGGTTTCAAACATACTATTAAATAGGCAACCATAACACTGGGACCAGCTGGGCACCACAACATTGGATGAAAAGAAAAAAAAAACAAATCATAAGAACGGAATATTTATTATTAATTTTAACTTATTTTCTTTCATCTCAATTTTTTTAGTTACTTTTCTTCACAACTTTAATTGTCAACTAGACTACCCATAAACCCGTTGGGTTCCTTTTATAAGCAGTACATGATACAAAATGATGAGGTAACAATATTATCAATTTTATTATTAATAATACATATTTTAAGTTATTGCAACAATTATTATTACACACATTATACAACATTATTTAGATCAAATAGAATAATAAATTAATAATAATTATATTTTTAGTATACATATTTGTTTCTTCTTCACATTTATTCCAAAATATGTAAATGGTGGCAAACCAGTATGCATCTATTTATTTACCATCAAGTCATGCACACATTTTTTCCAGCCATACAAATTATATTTTACAATAACACACACAAAACCTTTTTAAGTACTTGCCAAACATCCAAGATATTTGTTTAAAAAGAAGAAAAAAAAAAAAGAGTTCTAATGTAGTGTAATGAATATGCTGTTATGTATATTTAAATTTATTTAATAATGTTGCTATAATCTACTATGCATGTTTATTATTTTTCATACACACAATAGTTGGAATATGCATCTGTTTGTTCATATACATGGATTAATATAAGAATGTGTATTGTAAACAAATAATGAATTTTCTCTTAAAAATGCCGTAAAAACTTGAAAATGCTCCTAGCTCAAGAACCCCTTGTCTAATTTTAATGAAATTTAACACTGCACTTGATAGGTGTTCTATGTACAATATGCTACTAAATTGGTTGGGGTTGTATGATAGCAACAAATAAATCACTAAATAACCTTAATACTATACTATGTATATAAAACTCAAATGATTATTGGGATTAGCACAAATAAAGACCCCCATATTAAGTTACAAACTGACATGGAAATTGCTTTATCCTTCAAGTTAGAGTGTTTTAATGGTGCTGTGTTAACAAAAATCATGCTATGATGTGACATTTTTGCTATTCAAAGAAATTAGATTGTTAAGTGATACTGTAAAATTCCTAGATAAAGTCTTTAAAATAAAAAATAAATGTATACACCCACTTTGCAGTCAGGCCATTCTAAGAGAATATTTTTTATCTCAATATAAAGTTTCTCACAATGGAGGAAATGATATATTGTTTTTTAAATTCCTTGGGATAGCCTATAGATCTGCTGACCCAGTTGAAATTAATTTTTCTTTTTTTAAGAAGTCTGTGTATCATTTAAAGTTACTTTTTACTATTTATTTTTTAATGATGCAATTAATAATAGTAATGGTTTCATAAAAACAATGATACATCAAAAGTGTAGATTAAAGTTATTCTGGGTATTTTAAAATTGTCAACATGCTCATTAACTGAGAATTACATGGCATAATGAAAATTTATTCAAACCAGCCTTACAAGGTCAGGATATATTTTTAAGAGTTTTATTTATTTTAATATTACAGGAGAATTAAAATATTACTAATTACGTCTTCTTTGTGGTAAAGCAAAAAAAAAAAAAAAAAAAAAAAAAAAAAAAGTAAGTTCTACCCATGTCTCACAAGAGCTGTTGGCTTTTAATAAATTCAGATGCTAATGAAAGTTAAAAATATAAAAGCAAAAAAGAATGCAGCTTTCTGACACATTAAGAAAACATGCAAAGTGTAGTATCTGTCTCATTTTAAATGGGAGAAGATGCCTGGTTCTAGGGATTCTAACTTTGTTGCAGCACCTTCCTCATTGCACTAAGAGAGGTGGAGTTGGTGTAATACTGGTGCCAGTGTGACAGTGGTTACAGGTACTTGGCAATTTTTTCCCTTGGCCCATATGTACATGTATGAGAACACCACATGAAAAAAGAACTTGTGTCACATCTTACCTTAATGAGGAGGTCAAGTAAATAAAATCATGAAAATGTCTAGCATTTCTATTTGAACTGAAAAGTTATCAAGTGATATTATTTCTCTTGACTGCCGAGTGAGTAAATTTCTACAGACCAAATTAGGCCATTTTTGTTTATTAATTATTCTTAGCTTTAAAATAACACAAGGAATATCATTTTCTTTTATTAGTAATGTTATCTACATTCATTACATTATAGTGAATTGACGCAGCTGATGCTCATTCTATTAAGAAGAAAGGAAAAAAAATAATGGTAAAAGAAATAGAGAAAGGTGGGAATAAAAGGAGAAAGTTGATAAAAAAAAAAAAAAGAGAAAAGTGTAAAAAATAAAAAGGAGGAAAGTGTAAAAAGAAAAAAAAAAATGAGAAATATGCAAAAAGAAAAAAAGGAGGAAGGTGGAATAAAACCACCTTCCTCCTTTTTTTTAGAAAGGTGAAGAGAAAGGTGGAAAAAAGGTGATAGTCAAAAAAAGAAGAAAGGTGAAAAAAAAGAAGAAAGGTGAAAAAAAAAAAAAGAAAGGTGAACATCAAAAAGAAAAAGAAGGAAAAAAAAAAAAAAAGCTGTATGAATAGAGACACCCTGCTTCAAAGTGTTCTACAGTACAACTCTGTAGCTAGATAATTAACCAACCACAGAAAAAAAAATTACATTGGCGTGTGTGTGATTGGGAACTGCATTAGGTTTAAATTTCCTTGTATTTAAGATGCTTACTGCCATATAACACACATGTATCTTGTGGCATGTTGAATATTGTTTCCGACACACCTATCCATCCATTTAAAACAATAAAAATAATTGTGGTAACATCGTTGCTTTCAATGTTATTTATTCATTTCTTTTTGGGTACCTTGATTTGTCTTGTTAGGAAAAACACATTCATGACTCACACATAGCACTGTGGGAGGAACAATGCCAAGGATGCTTAGTAACATCATTGTTTGTTTAAAAAATTTAATTTTATCAACTAAAATGTCAGTCTTCAATAGAAATTTCTAATAGTAACCTTTCTAACAAGAACATAGATGGTATTGTGTAAGGGTTCAAATGATCAAGCCAGCAGTAAACATGTTAACCATTGATGCTTGAAACAAGTTAAGAATCCTATATTATTCCAGACACCATTAGACCTTATTCAATCATTTATTTTATTTCCATATTTGATTCACTCTACTTCTTCATACTTTTATTGATTCATTTATATTAAAACTGCTGCTGATAGCGTCCAACTGCTGCAAAGCAATACATAATTTTGATCCAAATACTGTCACTGATGGCTTACAATTAACATAACCTTGTTAACTGCTTTGCAGGTAAAAAAATAATGAATGACATGAAATGAAATATATGTACTGTATATTTCCATGTATAAAACGAGCTTTAAACCCCAAAAATTACCCTTAAAAATTAGGGGTCGTTTGATACTGCAATTTTAAAAAAAGAAACCTTAAATTCTGTGTGAGGTTTGTCTGTAGGCTAACCTTGGCCTCAGTGCAATGAAAAACGTACATGAAAAACATTCACATTCTTGAAATACATTTATAAAATGCAACAGTAGAGGTCATCAGTGATGTTACCCTGGCTTTGTTAAGGATTTTGGATATTGCAACATCAGATCCGTTCTGCCAGGAACCCTGATCTGTTAACAGGCCGCCTCTTCGCATAATTCGTTCCACAATGTGATTTTAACAAGAGAAAATGTATTAATAATCAGGTGGTAGATCTTTCTTTTATAATGGCAATGAGACTTGTATTAGCCAATCAGAACTTGCTTGGCTGTTGTTTAGAAGTATAAGAACAAAGGCGCGACATGTGCACACTTTCTTACAACGTCATTGAAAGTCTTTTTCTTTTACATTTACTTGAAGAAGAAAAATCCACCCCCCAATCATTAATTTTCCTAATATGGTGTTTAATTCAATGTGGAATCAAACACCGTTTTATGTTCTCACCTTTACGTCCTTGTATTCACTTACTAACTTAAGAAAAAAAAAACAAAATAAATTGTACAGTAAATTGAACACATTCATGAATGCCATGTCATAGGCCTTTATGGTTACGAAAAATCAAAATCAACAGGGCAATATTGCATCATGGGAAGATCGTATTACACTTGGTTAACATTAAAACTGATGGCTTTGTGGGTTCAAAGCCTATTTGATGCTAACTTTTCTTGGTAAAGAAAAAAATGTAAAAAAAAAATATATAAAATAGATAAAAGTAAACTATAAGATTTTGTTCAATTCTCAAGCAATGTTGAATAACTTTTGAAAAAATGATTTACTTTTTTTTAAGCTAAATAGTATTATATAGTTTAAGTTGGCGGGGGAAAGGGATTACAAAATTTTAAAAGGGTGTTGCTTTTTTTGACAAATCAGGATACAAGTCTAATTTAAGAAGGCAACTATAGATTCAGTGCGACATTTATTATTCAATGGACAACTTATAGGATTCCTACAATTACATAATTTTTCTTTACTATTACTTATTCTTATTTCTGGATCACTATTTTTCTGATTGTGGTTTAAGTATTTATTTAGAATTTTATTATTGTGTTTTTATAATTTTTTCTAAATTGTCAATACAACTATTACCTAATTTAAGGGTATTTTTTATTAAAAATTTTGCTAAGTGGATTATTTCTTGGAAAATGTTTTTCAAGTAAAGCAAGAAATTTATGTCCTAACTTACTACTAACCATTTGGTTGAATGGAGGTGTAAAACAAATGATTTTTCTATTTCTTCTCTGGTAATTTTTATTATTATTTTTATGTTTAATGCCAAGGCATTTATAGCCACTATTCTTTAAACCTTTATTATAAAAATTACTGTGTTCATAGAATATTCTTTCATTAGCAGAATTTATACTTATTCGTTTTTCTATGGATGAAGGTACATGCTTTGTTATAGATGGGGAATGATTTGACTTTAGGTTGATATATAAAGGATTAATATTAGTTTTTTTTTTATAAGGTTGGTATATATTTTTTCTTTAAGTCCAATATTATACCAAGGATGTTTACCTTTTTTAATTTTGTATTAATAATAACTTTCAAATTTAGGCACTTAACTTCTCTATGTATTAGTTTTCTAAGGTTTGTAGACTTCCTCACAACCATAAGGCCATCATCCCTATACAGTCCAATATCTTCAATATTAATTTCATGGTGTGCACTCAGATTATATGAAAAAAAATTCAGTTTACGAATTACAGTTTTAAAATTTTCCTGTTTATAATCAGTTATTTTTATTTTTTTCCTTTAATTTCTACACATGGTTGGCTAGTCTAGTAGAATTCATAAGACGTTCTAGCTCAAAAGATGACTTGTGATTGTAAAAAAAAGCCAAACCTTACAACAATCATTGCAATATCTGCAACCTTTGTCAACAAGAAAAGTTAGCTATAATAACATTAGCAGACCAAAAAAAAACTTTTTGAATGAGAAATCAGAAATTATGACCCGTTGTATACATATTAAAAAGTTCCTTTTGAATTCATATGAAGTGGGATGAAAAGAAAGTATGTATATTTTATTTAATCCCCTACTGATTCATTTCCAACACACTTGCTTTTCCCTTCCTCCTCTTCACCTTCTACCACACCTCACGTCATGCACTTATTCGTTTATAAAAAAATATATAGCATTCATAAATTTTTAATTTAAAAAAAAAAAAAAAAAAAAAAAAAATAAGGCATTAGGAAATCAATTGACTGAAATCACCTAAACATACCAAAAAGTTGAAACCAAGGTAGTGGAATTGACTGATCTACTAATTCTCTCTCTCTCTCTATATATATATATATATATATATACACACACAGAGGGTATGATGGGTAAATTGTTGCCATTTTATATTTTTAATTTCGCTCTTGTGCATTATTTGTTTTTGTCAACTGCACACTATAACAAGGTTAGTTGGGCACCACCATGCTCATTTTTTGAGTGCCAAGACGCAATTCACTTCACCAGAAATGGCATACTGTACTGCTTGGCATTTGTGCTGGAAGCTCCAATACAAATATTTCAGAGTGTTTGGGTGCGAATCTGAGGACAGTGCAGAGGATTCGGAAAGAGCTGGAGGAATCTAATAGTAATTATCAAAATACAGGAACTTGAAAAACCCACTGATTGTTCTAATAAGAAAAGAACTCCTGAATTTGTTCGTGAGGGCCTCAGACTCAATACAGAATCCTACATCACATGCCTTGAGACAAAGGGTGGCTGCTGGAAGACCCTATGTCTAGTAACAGGACTCTGCACCATGCCACACAAGCAGGAAAACCCAGACATTGCTGTCAGATAATTTCTGCAAACACATTACCTCTTACATTTGGCCACCTAATTCCCCAGACTTCAACCCCTCTGATTATTATGCATGGGGCACAGTTGAATGAGAGTAGAGACCAACAAAACTCCTTGTAACACCAAAGATGAACTGAAGGCAAGAATTATGGCAGCATTCACCAACTTAAACAAGGAGACCGTCCAAAAGAGTTGCAGGACATTCCAAAGTAGTCTGGAAGCCATGGATGAAGCCAATGGCAATTTTATTGACTGAATTTATTCTTTAGTATTTCAAGATATTTTTGCTTAATTTTCATAAATATATATGTTAAAATGAGATGTCAGTATTATTTTCATTTTCACGTAATTTAGATGATAATTTATCCATCACACCCTCTATATGTGCGTAAATGTTCTCAGAGTTTATCTGTAGAGGAGACAAAAGGAATAAAAAGAGTCAAGAGGAAAAACAATTCTTAACCAACGTATTTCATCCTCTGAGAGACTTTATTAAGGCAATGTAGGATTTATTTTGCTGCATGTGTTTATATACAAAGGCAAGGCTGTCATTGATTTATCAAGGCTTAAAATTTGAGAATGTTCCTGAATGTTCATCAGGTGGTTGAAGGGTCAATCAAAACATGTGGAAGACACAAAGTGTCAATTCAAAGTCTGACAAAAAATAAAGTGAGTGAGTTATATTCAAGAATTTTTTTTTATTTCATTTTTATTTTAAATGAATATTGTTTAGATTGTTACGGCATGAGATGGTCATATGTGCTGTACATGTTCAAAGGCATGAAGTGATGGATTTAACTGTTTTCTTCTGATTTTTCAACATGTGTCATATATATATATATATATATATATATATATATATATATATATATATATATATATATATATAAAACACACACATACACACACACAAAAAATACATCAAAGCGGTACAAGAAAGTTTTGCCTCTCCTTACTTCCCAAAAGTCTAACCAAAGGAACAATTTTTTTTATTCCTTCTTCATTTGGCAGAGAACTTTTCAGCATTTGTACATCAATTAGTTTGTAATCTAACATTGAAAAAAATAATTTTGTAAAAAATAACTACTTTGTCAATGCACTTAATTCTATGATTAATAGTAATCACGTTGATAAGATTATGTTTTATTGATGTGATTACTACAATACAAAGTTTCAGATCAAAATTTAGCTAATAATGTCAGGCAACAGATTTACTGATGCTCTTTTTCGCTCTTTATTGTACGTGGCTATTGGCTGATCTAATTTTTTAAAATTTAAAAGCTCTGCATGTTAAATTTTTATTTTCTTTTCCTTATATGTGTATTGACCACTTTTTAATACTACTGTTTTCTGGTTTAATCCAACTCTGACCAATAACTTTTTTAGAATTTTATATATATATTTTCTAAAGAAGTAATGGATTTTTTATTTATTTATTAATCTGTCAGATTTTTATCACTTTAAACATTATTTTTAGTGGATACTCATATTTTGAATGGATGCTCCATTCATTTATTAAACACTATATTTTTCTTTAATAAGATTTCTCAAATATTCAGGCTGTTAGACAAAAATAAATAAATATACTGTTTAATAAAAAGTGGAGCATATACTCAAGTAAAATAATGTTTAAAGAGATATATATATATATATATATATATATATATATATATATATATATACACACACACACACACTCTATATTTCCATGTATAAGGCGACCTTTAGATGAGACGAGTTAAAAAAAAAAAAAAAAAAAAAAGGAAATTTTCCTGAATTTATATATATTATATATATATTTTCATTTTTTGTTTCATCTTTTGGAAGTGCTATCTGATGATCTGGCATCTTTTAAAAAGGGGCTCTAGTGAAATAAATTATTATAATGGAACTTTAAAGTGGTCTGTTTTTCTTTAATATATATATATATATATATATATATATATATACACACACACACATATGCGCACAACTCAATGAGAAATTACCAGAATGATAAATATCTAAAATTTTAACATTACTACCAATGAGCTGGCATAATTTTTAAAAACAAGTTTCTAATAATGTTGGTCTATTAGTAAAATATGTCAAAGCAGAAATTTTTAAAATTGTTTTTCTCTCACACACATACATACAAAAACTTACTTTGCTTTCTTGAAAAAAATATAAAAAAAAGCTCAGAAATACTCACCCCATTTTATTATACATTTTCTAAGGAAGCCAAATACTTTCAGAATGCTTTTCCGTCGCTGGTAGACATTTATTCGGTGTACAGTGTGGGGATAAAGGGGATTGCGCCAGAGTCCAAACACCACATACACCCGCTGGATGTCCAGAAGTACCCTTTCCACAATGCAGAATCCGACAGTAATATACCCTAGTGAATACCAGGCAAGCTCTGTGCTAAGATCATAACCAAAGTAGCAGAGCAAACCAGATTCTACAACGACACAAAGAGTCATAAAGGTATGGTAGAGGACCTCACGATAACCCCATGTCCACATGAAACCCTGGCAATAGCTGCTGCTTGTGCGGCTAGAGGAAACTACCATCATCTTGTCTTTCATCAGAGTGACCTTGTTGCGTGGTGAAGACATTAGGTGCTGCACTAATTGAGACCCCAGGCCACCCAAATCAAGGCTGAGCAGGTAGCCAAAGCCTGCAGCAATAATTATTGAACCAAGCATGAGAGGCATATACAAGACAATCAAGTAGACGCACACAGACAGGAATAGCATGAGGCAGGACCTGCAAGCAAAGAAGAGGATTTAAAAATAGTTACACTTTGAAAAAGGGGAAAATATGAATAGTAAGAAAGAGACGTGATGAATTTGTGATGACTTGTTCATGCAGGGTGGCAGAATATAGCCCAAAGGAGGCTTGACAGTAATCAAGCAGTTAAATGTAGAAAGGCTCATTTTTACAATATACAACCAAGGAAAAATATGAGAGAAGTGTTGATTATATTTAATGAATATTGGAATTAAAATGTAGAAAAATAACTATTTGAAAAAGTTAATTATTTTCAAGAAATTAGACAAACTGAGGGGAGTTATTATGGAATCAAACTTGAATATTAACTTTGAGATAACCTAGTAACTTATAACAGAGTATTACCATTAGGAGGTATATATGGGAGGTATTTCTGCTGCATTTTGTATTATCTCTAAAAATCCTTGAGATTAAGTAGTTTGTATAATGGCCCTTCGATTATATTTGGGTGGGTCAGTAGTGTGCAGAGTGGGGGCAGAGGCTGCCATGTGTTTTCTAGAACAAATGAGACCTTTAGAGAGCATAAATTAATGGTTAAATCATACCAATACTTCATTTGTATAAATGTGCATAGCACACTTTGAGTTACTCTGTAAAGACAAGACTGCTACTGCAACCGTGGATGAACAGGCTGCCAGGTTAGAATCCCAAGCTTTGAAAACGAGAACAAGCAAACAGGCACATATAACTTGTTCTGTCACCATCATAGTTGTCAACGAGTAAATTGGGTTCAGACTGAGTGTACTGTTGACAAGCAATAAAACTGAAGAAATGAAATTATTAGTTAAAAACCTGTGTAATTAACAACTAAAATAAAGTAAGTCTTGTTAAAATCTTTTTAACGTATTCTATTTTTTCATTATTACAAAACTGATCAATCTTGGAAAGCTGTCAACTTTACTTTTGTGTGATAAGTAAATCAGGTTTGTGATGTTTCAACTCTGAGAATAGGACTTCTTCAGATCTCTTTTAATTACAACATGAGTGGAGATGTCTTCTCTACAAGATGTCATTAGACCAGAGACCAGTATAATTGCCTGTTGTTTCCAGCCATATAGCCATTTTGGTAGGATTCTTGTTCTTGAGGTTGCCCCAGAAAGAAACAAAGTGTGCTGTGCTACATTTAGTGACCAGAATAAAGAACAGTTTCACACTAAGTCATATAAAAGTGTTGGCTAAAAAAATGTTACAATCACCAGATGACCATGTGTTCAATCTTGGGATCAGATAGTGAATTCCATATTCCCTGATTCAGTAGGAACAAATGAGAAGCCACATCATAGGCCAAAATAACACAAAAATCATAGGTATCTCCTACCAGGAAAAAAAAAAATGGCTCAAGAGAACATTGCTAAAATATTGTCTAGAATAATAACTATAACAAATAAACAAAAGTTTGAATAAACCAAGATAAAATGAGAATAAAAAAAAAGTCTTATTCACCAAAATACAATTTTTTTTTTTTTTTTATTACCAGAGGTTATTTTTTATAGCCAAAGATAGTGTGCGTACCTCATCTTTTTATAAATTTGTGTAAGGCTAAATATTATGTGTGTCTCCACCTTACATCAATAGAACTAAACAGTCTGCATTGTTAACGCTTAAGGAATTACTTTACTATTTGCCTTTTTTTATATTTATTATTATGAAAAAATTGCATTTACAATGCAAGTGATAATATTTAATTTGAAAAAATTTAAATGCAATGTCAATCATTATATACTGTCTTCTTAATTCTTGTTTTCTTAATGTCCTCTCTCCTTAATAGTGTTTTTTTTTCTCATATTCTCTAACATTTAGTGACCTCTTGCATCATAGTGACTTTATTGCCTTGCTTGTGGTGGAATAATTAAAAAATAACTCTTGAAAAGCATATTAATAAATAATTCATCTACATTACTTATTTATAATTCAAATTTTAAAAAATCCCATATATAAGCAATATTTGTTGATAAAGTTGTTTTTTTAAATTCATCATGTTTGTATAGTAAGAATTTATATCTGCCTTGTAAAAATTCAGCTGTAAGAAAAAAAAATGTAAATAAAAGTAATCTTGACTTCTAAAGACTTTTTAAGAAGTAAATATATGACACTATTTAGCGCTGGTAAATGCAAAGAAGTGGTTAATAAATAGAACAATGGACAGGCCAAGAGAAAGAATGAAGATTTCTCTTTTCAAAAAAAGCTTAATTCTCAAAAACCAGAAGAATTACTTAAAACGATATTATCACAAGAAGCTATATGGCGATCTTTTGATAACTGATTGATGACCTGACCCTAAAAAGTACTGGTCAGGAAAACAGAAATAAGTGGAACAGGTAAGATTTGATTTGTAACCAAAACTCAAGGATAAAGTTTCCTTTTGGTTGGAGTACAATGACCCTGACAGGGCTGGGAGGAGAGACATCTGGTCAATGTCTGATTTTGAACAAAAGAAGCCAGAATGGGAAATTTTGTGTAGGCAAAATTTGAAATGATAATACTTTTTGATTAATGACCTTAAAGTTAAGCCATGCCAAGCAGTCGAGAGCCATTGGTTGAAGAATAGCCAAGGTGGTAGGTGCAGATAAAATACCAAGGGAGGTGGAGGAATTGCCCACACCCATTGGAAAGTATTGGTGCGAGATGCCAATAAGAGAAGTAAAAACTTATTGGGGCAGATTGATACCTGTGAGCGCTACCCACAGGAAAAGGGTATCTCTTGATTTGGAAATGTAATTTTCAGGACCCAGAGAGCAAAGGGGTACTTATTGGAAGATGGGAGAATCACTGAATACCCTGTGTCCTGCCCAACGTTGGTTTTAGGTGACTGACAATAAATGCAAGGAATCAAAGCAGTGGGAGGCAGTTGTTCTAGGTGCCAGACAAGAAATGACTTCACGTGACTGCCTGTCTGAAAAGAACCTCCGAAATAAGCCTTGTGCCAAACTTAACCAAGCCAGCCAAAGTGTCATGTTTAACTTAAGCGGGTTGGGTCGATAATTGTCTGCATGAGAAACTGATAAATCCTAATGCTGAAACTGACCAAGTATTGGACAAAAGAACATAATATAAAAACATTTATTTCTTATTCAAGTTACTCTTTTTTCTTGTGTCTTTATTCTACTTAAGACCAGCCCAATTCCTGACAATGATTCAATCTTTGCTGGCCTTATGATCAAAACTAATCATGACATGGGATAAGGCAAGGTGTGGACTGAAGCAACCATCTCATTGATCAGCAGTGGGTGTTGGACATTTGGACGACTGGGAAGGACTTGAAGGTGACAAATAATTTTAAAAATATTAAAATTTTTATAAGAATTTAGGCCTGGCAATGTTTCCTACAGTGTCCATAGTAACTGTTATTGTTATCTGACATTTCATATTATAACACATCAACTGATTGATTCATTTTCTATGGCTTATCAAGCATTTGCAAGTTATTTAAAGGCAAAAAATATTTTTAGATTGTAAGATTTTGTTTTGAGATAGTAATGCTTTAGTAATACAAATCTTACTAATTAACCCATAGCTAAGGAGAGAAGAGGTGGATTTATAACTTTCCCAAGGGTATTTGGACGTAAGCTAATATAATGAACCCAGCAATAATAGAAATTCGGTTCTCTGATTAACAATTCTAAACCATTATCCATTATGCCACCTGCACATCCAAGTTTATAGCATCTCGTATTCTCAAGTGGTCACCCATTTGACTGGGCTCAACATTGCTTAACTTTGGTGATTGTATGGGAACTGGTGTTTCAACATAAGCCCAACAAATAAACCAAATAGAGGCAAAAAAATTATTTATGAAATTATCTTACTAGGTCAAAATAATCTGTTTAATTAAATTTTCTTAAAACTATATTGAATTATTTAAACATGAAAAAATAGTTAGGTTTTTTTTCTTATAATGACAACATTAGAAAATTATTCAAATGTTCCTCCATGTAGCAGCATCCAGAGGAAGAAATTCAAGCAGATTTAGTATAATGACAAAAGGGACTTTAGAAAATGGGTATCTTGTTGAAAATGTTTAAGAAATTTTATAGAAATAGAACTTTCTTTTCTCTGTTCACAAGATGGATATTTGGCTAGTCCCATAGTTCTCAATGTGGGGTGTATGCTCCACAGGGGGGGGGGGACAATTCAAGAAGGAGTTATTAACAGTGAATTCTTTTCTAGTTAGTGTGTGTGAGTATGAGTATGCCAAGTCTAGATCCAGAGCTTTGATTATACTGCTGTGGGTTTCCCAGTGACTAGGGTAGGCAGTAATTGGCTTGCTCTCATTTCTTCTTTCCAAGCATCTCTGTCAAGCAGGCTAGTGCAGGCAAGGCTGCTCTCCTTCACATCCCTCCCAATGCAGACCTTCCTTGTCTTCCTAGGTCTACTTTGACCACTGTGACCAGGAACCCTGAACTCCAAGACTGTCCTGATGCATGACAAAACTCGTTGGATGTGACCAAACCATCTAAGACAACACAGCAGTGATGTTATATTCTCAATACTGATCATTGTTAAAAACTTGCATTGGGGGGGGGGTCATACTGAGTCTTGGTGCTACAGATTTATACAGTGCATATATAGCATGGATACATAAAAATATTTGTGTGTATGTATGTCAATTAGTTCAGTTAGTTATGTGCCATGTGTGATACACATTTAGGCAATCATGTATCTTGCAATACATGACTGATGAGGCAAATTTTTTCCTGCAGTAGGTTGCCATTTCTTTCTGCAGTAGATCAGTTGCCATCCAAGGCTATAAAACCTGGTCTGTCCTGCTATTTACCTATAACTTGGGGGAGAAAAAGAGGATTCATACATTTCCCAAGGGTATTAGTACGTAAAGGAGTGTAAAGGATTTGACTGGAATTCAAACTCGGCTCTCCAATTCCTCAATCCGAGCCACTATCCATTAGTTCACTGTGCCTCCCATATATATGTACATGTGTAATTACGTATGTACTGCATATAATGTTATATATATTATTTTTTGTTTAACAATTTCTTAGTAATTTCTTCCTCAGTTCTTCAACTGTCCTTTTGTTCTTTTATTTGGCGGTGGTGGTCGTGGGGGAGGAGTTTCAGGATTTTAGAGATGCTTAGGTATGACAAGCCCAAAAAAGCAAAAAAAAAGAAGATTGGGAACCAATGGGCTAGTCAACAAAAAGTATAACAATTCCAATGGATCATCAAATTGCTACAAAGAGAAAAAAAGGAGACAGTGATGGTGGGATCAATCGCTTACCTCATTTTGGATGCCATGGGTGAACCTCCAAAGAGAAAGACATGTATTTGTTCAACAAGCCACAAAAGTCCAGCATCAATAGGTGGGAGAATGCCTAGAGTCCAACAGAATGGCAGGCAAGCCATCACACCATGCAGCACTTGGTTGGCTAGAAGTAGATTGTACGAATTGGGATACTGTCTGAAAAGGAATAATAAACAAATAAAATATAGTTGTTGAAATACATGTATTAGGGAACCTCCAAGACACAGTGCTTGGATAGTTTGAAGTTGTCAGACAAGTTATATGATCTCCAAGCCATTGATTTTCATTATTTTCTCATGAATATTGGAATATATATATTTTTTTAATTATAAATGAAAATATTTTTATCATGCGTTATATATATTTTACAATCAGCTTCTCTTAACAAAAAAAACAAAAAAAACACACATTTTTAGCCAGAACAATAACAAAGCAGTAGTCAATGATTTCCTCTTTGCATATTTTTATTATTGTTATTGTCTTCACCCACCAACATTTCAGGGAATTTACTGTGCAATCTTTTACAGATGACTAATGTGAATCCTTACAGTGTTTGCTTTATGTCATTATTCTGTTCATTTGTATATATGGACATTACATTTTTCTATCTAGGAGCAGAGTGTAATATCTGCTTGACTCCTGGCTGTTTTGGGTATAATAATACTAGACAAGAAGAAATTGGGATAGAGGAAGGAGGAAGAAGAAAAAGAGGGGGTGAAAGAAAAAAAAGGGATGGGTTAAGAAAGCTAGAGAAAAATCAAAAGAAAATACAAATAAAGTATTGTATGCATGAGATTATATATATATATATATATATATATATATATATATATATATAGATAAAAATCAAATCTGATCCAAAAGTGTCAGAGATCTTGAAGTTTGACACTAGGAAGAACAATCTGAAGAGTGTGCATGAAACTTGAAGTCAGTTATTTAAAACATCAGGGGCATAAAAATTTCACTTTTTTTGTGTCTTTGGATTGGTTTCCATATTTATTCTAGGTCAGATTCCTTGTTGGAAATTATTAAACATTTTGGATCTTATCAAGTTGAGGGTAGTTTACTTAATGCTTTATATTGTTCTCTTTTACTTTCCTCCAGGAACATAAACATAGTTTCTTTCTTTTTGCTGTTGTTTTCAGAGTTTCAGTGTGTGTGTGTGTGTATATATATATATATATATATATATATATATATATATATATATATTTCACTTTAACACTATTTTTAGTGAATACTCGTATTTGAGTAGGTGCTCCATTTATTTATTAAACAGTATATTTATTTTCATTGACCAGCCTGAATATTTGTAAAATCTTATTAAAAAAAAATAAAAAAAATCGCACCATTTGACAGGAATTGAACCGGCATCCCTCAGAGAAGAGGGAGCCATTGTTTAGGAATGCAGGTTCGTTTCCTGTCAAAGGGTGCAAATTTTACTTTAATAAGAAATCGCTCCCACTATCAACCTCACTTTATTCAACATTAGTAATGCAGTGTTGAAAGTTTTTTTAAAAACACACTTGAATTCCAGCCTTGTTCAACATGCGAAGCTCGAAATAAACGCTCCTACTAGTATTCAAAACAACACAAAAACATACAGAAGAGAAATTAACAACACCCCAAACCCCCTTGAAAATGGCTAAAGAAGTGGCTGAAAGCACTTAGGACAATACAGATAATTTTGCACTCCCTTACTTCCATCAACGTAAAAGTGTAAGAATGCTGGAAAAACTAAATAAAAAATTAATTAAATGTTCCTTGTCTGTCATATTCAATGAAACATGTTTAAAAGAAAGGTTGCCACCCATATATATATATATATATATATATATATATATAATAGATATAGTTTTGCTGTCTGAATAACAAGAGACAATGAACTATTGAAAGGAATAGAAAGATGTAAAAATTGTGATACATAAAAATTCTTTATGAAGAGATAGAGCAAAAGAAAGATAAAGACGATGGAGTAGAAAATATTTTTGCTTTCACTATTCATTTTTCACAAATGAAACAAATCTTTGTTTGTCTAACATGGAGATAAAAAAAAAATAATTCTCAGGCAACATAGACTGGGATAAGGGATAAAAGAAAGAATGAGAAAATGCATGTAAAGGGTGAGAAAAGAGCAGATGTATGAGATAATGGATCATTTTAGTTGTCAACAGCATTGGAGTTTCCACTGGTTCAGCTAGCTGGAATTATTCTGCAACAACACTTTTTTTTTTAATGGAGATCATAATCAACTGAAGAAAGTTGGAGAATAGGCTTGTCAAAATGTAGCGAAAGAAGAAAAATGGGTGAAGAAGATATCAATAACCCAATTTAAAAATCGTAGACAAAGTTGGTGTAGCAAATATGTCTATTATGATCTGGCAGTGGTATGCATTTTTGCCATTTCCCTCATGGCTCAGAGAAGCATGAATAGATCAGAATATTGTTATCAAGACTGTTCTTGTTAGGTTTTGTAAATGTTTATTGAGTTGTTTTTTACAACTTTTTGCAGGTTATTTAAAGCAAAAATATATTTTTAGATTGTAAGAATTTTTTTGAAGATAATAATGATATTGAGACAAATCTTACTAATTAACCCATATAAGGGGGACATAAGCAATGGATTCATACCTTTTCCAAAGGTATTTGCATGTAAATGAACATAGTGAACATGACTGGAATTGGAACTCGGCTCTCCAATTAAGAGCTGTTATCCATTACACCAACCAAACACCAAATCTTACAGCACCTGATATTCCCAAGTGGTCACCCATCTAGGTACTAACCAGGCTTGACATTACTTAATGTGATTGTACAAGAACCAGTGTTTCAGTAAGTGTTAATAAGAAAACATTTTTTGTCTTAAAGTATGAACTCTAAATTTATTTTTACACCAAATCTAAGCAGTTATAAAATATCTAATTCATAAGCATAAGATATGAAAATGAAACATAATGCGAGTTTTTAGGATAATTTTTTTTTGTCTTTATATACATAGACACTATACACAAGTAATTTTTTTTTTAAAAGGTTAAAAGTCATTCATTTTCAGTGACTGGTTGCACTATATACAAAAATTTTTCTGAAAGAGTTAACATTCATGCATTTTTGCTGACCATAACCTACTTTGTAGGCCTACATTCTTATGGTACCTTTGGCTAACCTGTGCCTGTGTTCCAGGATCTAACTTGAGCGGCAACACAACCAATGAGATATCACTTAAATACATCCCAAACCAGTAGACGTTTTTCTTTCCTTAATTGTTCTGGTCTGGAACACCACACTTGTGCCAGTCATATTTTCTTGCCTCATTCACTCATCCAACCCTTTTCATGAACATCAACAACTAATCCTCCAGCGAATTTCTGTTTTTGTAATGTTTTTTTGCTTGAAAATTACCACTGGCCTCAGCTTTGTGCCATCATGTTAACAATGGTAAATCAAGATTTTTCATGACCAGTTGTCTTCACTAGCACCTGTTCCCCTCACCTTTGTTCACTGTTTTACCAACTGCTATATCAAAGTTCATTGGTGTTTCCATCCATGTTTCCAATACATGCCAGTCAATATATTCATTCCTTTTTCTATGTTTGATAATAAATTTCTGAAATGAACTTATTTTGTCTTAGAGTTCCATGGGAAAGTGTTGTGAAATTTTTGTCTTCTGTTGCAAAACAAGATTATACATCTTCATAAATCTGGTGCAACAACCAGCATTGGCCTTGAAATTAACAATTTTAATTTTCTTTGCCATTTGCAACTTAAGCTATGTAGGAGGCAGGCCAAGGGTAAAGGAGTTACTGTAGTCAGGCATGAACAAAAATAAAAGTATGGTATCTAAATCTTTGTATCAGATATTTTACGGTAAGTGTTTTTTCTCACCATTTTGGGGTAGCTTTGTACAAAAAGAATGAAGACCATTTCTTTGCTATAAAATATATCCAGGATGATGCCCAGTAATGCAATATTTGACTACAGCTGGCCTGCTAGTATTGCTCAGAAGCTGTGGTCATGTTATACACTAGCTATATGAAAATATCAGGTTTTCACAAAAAAATTCAAGGGTTGCACTATACATGAAATAGCCTTATATATGAGTATATATGGTTAATGGAAATTGTCTCAAAAGAATAAAATCCACATTCATAAAATGCTATGTGCATATTATATCGTAGTTTTGATTTGTGTATTTTTGGTGGATAATGTTTTAAGGTGAGCACTCTTTTTAATTAAAGTGTTCATTAAACATTAATAGCAACAAATAAAATTAAATGTGTAACATATTTCATTTAAGAAATATTTGATTCAATTTTACTATCAAATGCCCTGGTGAGTGGATACCATATCTGAAACTCCTAGTTCAAAGTTGGGGAGGATAAATTGATTATATATATATATATATATATATATATATATATATATATATATATAAATATTTATTACTATAAACATTATTATAGTGGATATTCCTATTTGAAATAGATGCCCTATTTTTATTTTTACTTTAAACACTGTGTATTATATGTCTATAGACCAGCACAATTGAGAAATCACAATAGGAAAAATGTTTTCTGGCGGGAATTAAACCTGTGCCCCCCTTTGTAGGAGAAACTACTATTTGATCTTCTTTACTGCTAGTCTACAAAGAGCAAAGAGTGTCACAGGCCCTATTTTCACTGCACACACACATAAAAAAATTTCAGCTTGATCCACTTCCCAAAATGTGACCAAATATCAGAATTTTGGGAGAGAGAGCAGTTTTCCATCAAGCCAAGAAATTTTCAAGTGTTTGTGCTACACATTTTTGTTGTTATAGAAGAGTACCTTATATAGAGTTAAACGATTCATGCATCTTTATGTAGTGTGCATCTTTGGTAATATAGTTGAAATAAATAACGTTATGCTAATCTTGATATTAATGAAATTAATTATTCAGTGGTAAAAGGAACATTTCTTGCCAACCTTCTTCAAGTGCTTAAATCTCAGCATTAATTACTGCTGTCATCATGTGTCATCTGATCCATTCTTCAGTTATCTGAAGGTGCAGTCCATGAGAAACAAAAAACTTGTAAAACTTGAAGAAACAAAAAGCTTCTAACTTGTAAAACAAGCAACAAAGAAATTGTTCACTAACATATTCGCTGAATTGGTCTATTTTTACACTCACAAATACATAAGTGTCCAGGTGATTCCAAAAACTACACCAAAGGAGGGAGCCCTACAACACTCCAAAACTGCATGGTGTTACTCAGAGTTAGAAGATTGACATGTTTTTATTCATAGATGAAATTTGAAGAAGGTTGAAGAATGCATCAGCCAAAATGTTGTAGCAAAAATACAAAGAGATTTGAGCATTTGAATAATGTTTGATATGTTAAATTATTTTTCTCAGACAAAACATTTATAGACAATAGCAAAAGAGACAATACATTTATATTTGTTTAGTTCAATATATAGGAACTTCCTTGTTCCAGACATATTGGGACTGGTGTAGAGATCAAAGAGATTTAAATATGTCTTCAACTAAGAAAAGCAGTGGACATGCAGTTCCTTCTCTCTCTCTATGGCAGTAAGTGCTGGATGATCTCAAAGATGAAGAGGAGACTTGAAGCAACAGAAATGTGGTTCTATAGAAGGATGCTGAAGATACCATGGACCGAACATATGAGTAATGATGACGTTTTGGAGAAAATGGAAACAAAAGGAAACTAATACTTAACATCAGGAAGAGACATTTGAGGTTTCTAGGGCACATAATGAGGAAGGAGGGCATGGAAAATCACACATGGGTCAGATAGAGAGCAAGAGGGACAGATGAAGACAATGCATAACATACTTAATGAGCTTCAGTAAATGGATGATGGAATAGGGCTTATAAAAAATGACAGAAAGACAAAGTTTATTAAGAGCTACAAGTGAAGGAAGTTGTGGAGAGCCATGATCACCTATATCTTGAAGGTTCATGGCACATAAAAAAGAATAGGAGGTATTGAACATCAACAAGAAATTGCAGAGCAACAATGTTTTTTTTAAATATTTTATAAGTGCAATATATTTGCAAAATTACTTAAATATTACTGTTGAAGGTACAGGTAAACTAGTAAAAAATGCTTTCCGAGTAGATGTATTGGTTCTTGTGACAATTCAATCCTTAAACTGTCAGTGACAGCAAACAGGTATAAATCTCAAGTAAATAATTAGGAAACTTAATGGCTAATGAACAAAATCACTTTGCCACTTCAAGTGAATCCTTTACTTACTGAAATGCATATTCATAAGGCAATAAAATTATAAAGATTCCACTTGCACATTCACTTTTTTTGCATTGCAAATGGCCTCCAGCATGCAAAGTATGCGAGGCATTGTGCCAGTTTTGCTTCAGATAAGCGAGTTGGAAATTTTTCATAGTTACCTTCTTCAGTTAATAGCAACAGAAAAAAAAAAAAAATACAACATCCCTTTCTTCTTTTTTCTTTAGGGATCTATCTGTTCATTGAATTTCACTCTTCATTGATCAAGTTCTTGGCTATAGAGAGAGAGAGAGAAAAAAAAGTATATATCTGCTTCATATTTTGCTACTGACAAGTAAGGATTGAAAAATCAATAGACACCAAAAACCAACCTTATTGCAGTTATCTTTCCTCAATCAGCGAAGATAATATGGCCTTGTGCCCCAAAGAGAGAAGACATATCTCTTTTGTAAATACTTTGCTGGTTTCAGCAGTTTCAATTATTTTTCATTGATTGTATTCTTAGCTGAATAACTGCATAGAGCAGTACTTGTTGTGGTCGATATTTATTTTGCTATTGATTGATAGGTAGTCAAGTGGAAAACACTGCTCAATCACTGAACCATGGAGTAATTTTTATATCCACTAACAGATTTTGATATCTCATGCATACAAAATTAGGGTCTACAAATTCCACCATAATACAAGCTGACAATAGAAAAAAGCACAAAGAAGAAACAGTTAATGTAATTTTTGTACTCACCTCTGGATGGTATCGACGAGCACACAGATCAGTACATAAAGGGACCGCATAAGGTGTGACAATTCATAGGTGTCCATTGTTCTAAATGTTGCAGGTTCAGGGGGAGCAGTTGTGGTCAGTGAATACTGAGCAACACAGAGGGAGAACCAGCCAAAGAGAAAGAGAAGTACAGCAGCAATGTTGCTGTTGTACAAGCCTTTCAGGTTGGAAACAGGGAGAAGAGAAAGCAGGGCGGTACCACACATGAGGCCTGACACCATGGCATGAATCAAAATGTTTACTTTGTACTTCTTGGCCGGAATGATGAAGCTCAGCGTCCCAGGGGCACAACACGACGTGAAGTCTACCTCATCATCCTCTGTTAGGGCACTGTGCTTTTTGGTGATGACCATGTCATCCATTTTGTTTGACTGTTGGCAAATAGTTGACAGTATCTGCACAGAGATGACAAAGAGAGACATTGCAGCCCCATAGATATAGGCTGCAACCTCAGACTGAAGGAAGTTGAGCTCTACAAATGTTGTAAAGATTCCGGCAAGAATGAAGGGAAAGAGGAAAAGGCAGATCTGACTTAGATAGACATATATTGGTGCCTCATAACCCAGCTTCATTTTGGGTCCACCAAGGATAGTCTGTGGCAGGCGCTTCAGGAAGAAATCCTGCTTGTACTCATTCAATAGAGGGATACCTGAACCCATTTTTTAGTTAACAGGTAAACAAAAAACAACCACAATAGAAAACTTAGAGAGCAGGAGTGAAGACAGAGTGGAACCACGTTTGATGTCGGACAGCCATTTTTATTTAATGTATGCTTCCTATTATAACATTGGGCATGTCCAAACAACTTTCCCCTTTAATTTTGATTAAATTACAAATAATTGGTTCCATTTCCTTTCTATAAAAATCCATTTTTAAAAAGATATGGAAAAAAAACTCGCAAAAATCACCTAGTAATTCACTTCGACATATACTGCCAATTATATATATTATAATAAATACACACACATAAATAAGAACTTTTAGCTGTTTTTTTATTTTTTTATTTTATTAAGATTAACAATCTTCAATTGTCTGTGTTTAAATAATAGGATTCAAGAATGTTTCAGAATCTGGAATGATTAGATTTTTGTGAGAGAGCATAGAGAAATTATTTCTATTTGGATCAAGGTTTTTTTTTTCCTCTTCATTTCTTTTTCGGACATTTATATCTATTTGTGTGTATGATATATGCACGAGTTGGAGTTACCTTAATTATATTTCCCCACCTTAATAGAAATTTAAAAAGATGAAATCAGAATAAAGGGGTTGAGTAAAATGGTAATGAATGGAATGTCAATTTCAAAGCAATGGGACTCAGCTGTATGACTGCCCAAAACCAGTGTAGAGGGAAAATTAAAGAAGGTCTTAGAAAGGGGATTGTGGTGCAAGGGTACCCAGAAAATGATCAGAAATCATATGTTAATCCTTGTTCATATGACATCTATATAATGATTGATTTACTGGATAGTATGAGAGCGCACTTTCCATTAGATTGATTTGAGAAATGGAAGCCAAAATGAATAAAAACTGGTACAGAAAATAGAGTGGATGCATAGGCAGGTAGAAGGGTGAGGGCAAAGGGTCTCAAGTTGTGGTGATAGCTGGTATTGTTGGAAAGTAGTCAGTCATGTAAGGGCTCCAGGCTCTCAGATGAAGTGACAGAGCAGCTCAGTAATCTGAAAAAAGAAAAAAAAATTTGTTATTTTCTGTACAAGCAAAAATATTTCTGATGATAATAAAAACATGAAGTACAAGTTTTGCAAAATTTTATCAAAAATTTATTTTTAGTAGATTCCTGCTCCCACTACACTGAAAAATAGAAGAATGTATTACTGAGCGTCAAAGCTAAAACTAGCATTAACTTATATATTAGTGATGGGATGATACCAATATTTTTACAGATTCCGATACAATTCTCAATACTGTTCTAAATTTCTGATTCTGATACAATGATTAAAATTCATTATTTTCAGGCCCTACAGTTGGCTTGGGAAACTTAATGAACAAAATACATTTATTAATAAAACATTTATTTAGTAGAAAAATGAATATGAAAGCTTATGAAATAAAGTTAGATATCCTTTTTATTCAAAAAATTAGGCGAGAGTTTAAACAAAGAGAACAATTTCTTTACATAAATCACTTAAGTACCAAGGTACAGTTGACATATTGCTTTACTTTGGTTATCAACAAAAATCTTAAAAAATCTTCCAAACTACACTTTTCTTGTCATAATTAGGGTCTGAAAATAATAAACATTGGTTAAAATTTAAAATTTTCACTGTTAGATAAAAAATGTTTCTAGTTTTTTTCAATATGTATAATTTGTAAAGATTCAATTAATAGTTTGCTATTAATTAGGGTCTGTTTTTGGCTACCTTATATATTTTAAGTTTCAACAAACAAAGGCACCCTCTAAATATTATGCAATCTCCTTCAAATTTTATATGTGACATTTTTCAATGAATAGAACAAATTTAGGGGTGACAATTCAATTTCAGCATGCACTTCAAAAATATATATATCATTATAAAGATTAGGCATGAGATTCAACTGTTACAAAACATTAAAATAAAAATAAGATTAAAATGATTAAAAATCTTCATAAGGAAGAGAACATCTGTAAAAATGTGTATTTTTGTATGGGATTGATTTTTTTCAGTTATTTATTATTAGAAGATGAAATTTTTACTAGTTTTATTTTTAAAATATTAAAACAAATCATGTTGTAAGTGGAAAAAAAATATAGCTTAATCACTCCAGATAAAAATGGGATAAAGATACTCGTTTTTAACTTTTTTATACAAAAAAAGGAATAAATGAGAAAAAAAGTTCAAAATATTTTAAATGTCATAATTTAACACAGGAAAGTTCAATTATGCCAAAGAAAAATATTAGTAAAATAAAATTAAATAAAATTTTTGATAGAAATTAAATTTTAGGTTTTTTATTACAAACTTTTGTGCGAAAAAGCTATATTTCAGGAAACTTCAAATAAAAGTTTGATTATATTTTTAAGTAAATAAAAGATGAAAATCCATTTCAAAAACTATAAAATTTCAAGAAATACAAATTTAAGTTTCATATAAAGAATGTTTACTTTTTTAAGTCTCGGTTATTAAAAAGATTTATTTTTGTTTACTTTGTATGCTATGTAAACAAAAATAAATCTTTTCATTTCAATAAGTGAGACTAAAAAATGATTTTGTGGATTAAAACTATTAACTATTATAAAACAAATTGTTGTAATTTAACTGACTCAACACAAAAGTCAATTTTTTATAAGAAGAAATCAAATGTGACATTGGCAGGAATGCCATACATTCATTTTTTTTCCCTTTTTTATAGATTAAAAAAAAAAATGTCTTAAAAGAGAGCCTAGCAGAACAACATGAATTCATTTTGTGTTTATATTACATAAATTTGATTCTAATTAATAATTTAATATTAAATGGGTGGATTAACAATGTTTAAAAAATTAATAAATAAAAATTTTATTTGGGACTGAAACAGACTTAAAACTTGCGAAATTTATGGAAAGTTCAAGAACTGAGTAGAATCTTAAACTTTTTTTTTTTTTTTTTCATAAGTAAACGGTAAACATCATACTTAGGTGTTGTTATGTTCTATATATTTTAGTTTTACTGATAGTTAAAATCATTAAATATTGTTATCTTTTTATTATTAGTACCAGGAATGGGAAATTAATTTTTAAACAGAAAAAAAAAACCAAATAAATAAAAAAAATTAAAAAAATAATCCAAAGAATCGTTTTTGGAATTGGAAATTAGGTTCGTTAAAAATTCTCAGATTCAGATACCCCCGAAGAAGCTCTGATATTTCAGATTATCGATTCCAATTAATCCTCCCATCACTAAAAAAAGTCTTTTAGGAAGAGAGAGTCCCTCTTGCCTGAAGTAAGCTAGTAAATTAATTTTGAAAAAGGCATGTAACCTTCAATTTTTAGCTGATTCTTTGAGATCTAGATGGTAGACTTTTGGGCTCTTGTGTAAATCTCTCTCTCATTATATATATATATATATATATATATATATATATATATATATATATACAGACATGCTTGAAAAGTAAAAAGTCTAAGTTTGTTGCTGCTGAGTACTTTCTGCTCAGAGAAATGGAATTAGTATTTCCAGTGCCTATTCAATTCTTAAAAAAAACAAAAAAACAAAAAAAAAACTCCAAATAACATTCAACAAAGTTAAAATGGAGTTAGGGAGAATAGATAATGAGGTATTTCTTTTGTACAATGAGTTTGTAATCTTTTTAGAACAGTAAAAAGAAAAAAAAAAAGCATATATGAATTGGGGTCAAATATGGATTAGAATCCAACAGAACTGTTACTACTGACCAGAAAGAGATGGTTAGAATTTTGAGGACAATGTGTTATACTGGAACACATCTATTCTATAGTTAATAGACTCTCCCACCTATAATAAGTAGGAGTAGTAGCAGTCGCCAGGGATCAGTGAGTTGGTCAGTCAGTCGATGTCGGACAACCGTTAGTCGGATATTAAAGTATCAGCCACCACAACTAGATTGCTGCGTCATTACCTATTATATCAAGTTCCTAACGTTTTGTACATCGAACCTATTTTAGGACCGACTTATTGAAATACAAGCCTCCACTGTGAAACTACTCTATAACACAATGAAGAAAGAAAGCTTGAATAATTTAACTCAAAAGACACATCAAAGGCAAGAGATGCGGAGAAAAGTTAAAAGTAATCGACTTGAAAATTTTGAGCAAATGGATGGCAGAACAAGTACCACAAAGACAAAAATGGGTCATGAAGGTGAAATTGTTGATGTGAACAAACAGAAAGCTGTGAAGAACCATGACCACTCATATCCTGAAGGGACATGGCACAGAGAATGTGTGTGTGTGTATATGTTAAAAGTTCTTTTCTATTTTCAGATATTACAAAATTTTTTTATGAAAATTATATCAAACTTTTTGAAAATGTGTATCCATGATATGAAACTAAAACATTATTTCTTTTCACCCTGTAAATGCAAGAAATTTGTGCAAAATAAAATAAAAACATGATAATTACAATGTTTTTCAGTTGAAAGAATTTCCACACTCCTGCTGAGATATGCAAACTTACTTATCAGTGAAACGAAATTTAAACAAAGTATCACTTTTTTTTCCCCTTTTTTTAAAGAAGTTTCTAGAACAGGATAAGGATAGAGAGACGACAAAGAAACCAGTCAATCAAAAGTATTTAAAACAGGACTTATATAACATGTGACAAGGAAGTTTTAAAGAAAATAAACAAGGAAACGGATATTTACAAACAGAAAGAGATGGATGAAAATGTCTAGAAAACAATGAGGAAAAAGGGCTTGGAGAATTTAACACTCACATGACATACTGAAAGCAAGAGAAACCAAAGGAAATAAGGAATAATCTACTAAATTAGTTTGCTTCAATAGATAGCAGAACAAGGAGCAAATAAAAGAGAGTAAAGGATCAAAAGCTACTTAGAACAGCAAGAAAAAGTTATTGAGAGATATGATTCCCCATGTCTCAAAAAAGACATAGTAAATAAAAGATTGGCTTGGTTGTTTTTGTTTCACAGTATATCAACACCTCTATGGGTTATTTAATGAAAAATCTAAATATGAAAATTCAAAT